ATAAAACCCCTTAAAATAACTTGTAAAGAACCCACTCTAACATCTTTAGGCTTTCATGTAAAACAATAAAAACACAGAATAATAATGGAGATGGTTCAATAAAACCCATTTGTCCCCTCTCACTTATCCCGTATTAATTTGTCTTGGTGCATTATGTTTCCTCCTGGTCTTTATATAGTCCCTGTGCACCTGCAATGACATCACCCTATCTTGCATTACATAGCGCTAACAGTCACAGTGGGAGCACTGGCTTCCCAGCAGGACCCATATTGGATGGTCTGCAATCAATGACATCATGCGCAAGCATCATCCTCTAATACCTCGGGGAAATAGACACAAAGAAACGGTGATCTCAGCCCCCTGAAGCTTTTTTTTTTTTTTCATATTCTGGTTTAAAGCAGGTAACATGGCAGCAAGACATTAGCATCAAGGAGAAAAGATGTTTCATAAGTGATCGTGTTGAGGTTTGATGTTCTTTCTGTTTGTTCTTTTTTATGTCTCACTCCCACGACGCTCACATCAAAAAAGTACACAAATGGTTCTTAGCAATTTGAGTGATGTATTTTGTGCACGTGTTTGCAGTCGAAGTATTGTAAATAGAAACTGTGGGAAAAGGACGGGCACTTCAAATCAAAACACTCTTTGATTGCAACTGGAAACTATTCAAGATTTTTCAAAGACTTTTCCTAAACATGCACATGCAAATTATCTATAATTTTCTCCAGTGTGGGACCTCAGCTTTCAACCCATATTGACTCATCCCAACTTTTTCTTCTTCTTGTCTTCTCTTATCAGTTTGTGCTTTCTTACTTTGTCATTAATGCTTCGGTGAAGGGCGAATATATTTTTCTCTCTTTAATTTAATCTGAGGAATTTCGTCTTGTGTGGTTGGCTTCCACTTTTTTTTTTTCAATGAAGTTGTTGTTTCTTTGTTATTTAAGGGGCTGTGTCCATTCAGGTCATTATTTTTCTTGCCCCGGCAGCATTCACAACCTCAAATTTAGAGCACCTCTCATTGGCATTCAGTGTTGCTAAAAAAGTGTCCATAAACTGTCCTGCGCCCCTTCAAGTATATGCCATCAGGTCTGTTTTTAGGGCTTTGTGTGCGTCCTGCTTGCTTTCATTTAAAGCCATTTTACTATAACAAAAAAACTAAAAATAGTAGCAGACTGGTTTGTGACAAAAAAGCAACATTCATGTGCTCCGAGTCTCCAACAAGTTTGACTATTTTTAACTGAAAGCGCTAAGTGTTGAGCATGCAAACAAAGGCTCACACTGAAGTTTGCACTGTGGATGATGATCGCTGAAAAACTGCATTTACGTCGGGTAGTGGGCGAAATAGATGATACCAGCACAAAAAAAAACATAGTCTTAAAGGGATATTCCGGCGTAAAATTAAGTCAGGGTCAAACACCAAGCAACCATCGAGAGATGAATGTTGCGGACCGCTTGCTTGTTTAGTTATACCAGCTTTAGTAACAACCACACAATAGCAATACAGAGAGCCACACACTGAACCAAAATGCCACTCTATAGCCACAAATAATACTCAGAACAGCACCTAACTTCATCAACAGTACATATAGGGTCCTAGCCAGAGTACTAGCCACCAAACATCTTTTTAGCTTTGCCTGATTTCTTTAGCAAAGAGACTAAACACAACTCACCGTCTCTCTTCCAGCAGCTGCTTGTTTGTTCAGAGACCCCTGGGCGAGTCCATCGACTGCAGCGGGGTGACACAGCTCAAGAAAGAACAGGAAGAAAGGTAGCTCTTCTGCCTCAGCGTTTCGGTCTGATTGCATTTCCATGAGGAATGAGCAGAGTAGAGATCAGAGAATGTTCTTAGCATTATTCGTGGCTTTTTTTGGTTGAGCGCGTGGCTCTCTGTTTTGCTATCTGCAGTCGTTATTAAAGTTGGTATAACTAGACAAGCAAGCGGTTGGCAACATTCATCTCTCGACGGAGTGTCTAACTTGGTGTTATGGTCTATTTGGCCCTAACTTAATTTTACGCTGGAATATCCCTTTAATGCAGTAAGCATGTTTTGCATAAGATACTGGAACTGCTGGGTCAGTGACTCTTGAACCAAGTATGACTACTTTAATCCAATTTGGTGTTTAAAGCCAGCGCCTTATCGTAGATGCATTTTAGCATATTAGCATAATAGCTCATCACCCGATCAGGGTAAATGTGTTAGCGGAAACTCTGTTCCTGTAATTGGTGAGCGCTCTGATTTGTCAGAGAAATAGTTCCAGATGAAGGAATCAGAAAGTTATTCCCTCTTGGGCATCTTTGAGGATCTCAGAAAGTCTTCTGAGTGACAGGTGAGGGATGCAGGGATCCTCCCCAGAACTTCAGAAAGTATTTAGGATGACATGAGAAATGATGTGCCATTTTTTGCTGTGATATGATTCACAAGGTCTGGTAAAGACAGAGATAATGGTAATTCTGGTGGTTTTAGTGGTATAAAACACACACCAAGTTTCACACTGTGTAGTTTAACTCTAGTGGGCACAAAAAAGTTGTGTTTTAATGTTACCAATAAGTACGTAGCAGAATCTGAACCTCATTTAGGTTCAGGAACTCCAATTTTCCATCCCAGTAACTTTATGAAATGACCATTCATTACTCAAATTCAGTCCTTAAGATCGCAGTGAGACGTTTAAGTTCCTCCAAATGGGTTGTATTGATCATCCTTTAATATCTATACATAGTGCAGCGCCCAAAAAAAATTGAGAACCCCTGCCTCCACACTTCTTTCTGATCATCGCAATCTTTGGGCTAAAAGAGTAAAAAGCACTTTTCCGAGAGATATTCTACCGCAGTGCTGCTTATTACCCTCTTTTGCTGCCTTTCAGGGAGCTCATCTCGACATATTTCTGCCCAGTCCCAGCAGGGAGCGTTAATAATCACCTCCATGCAACACTGAGACCATTGTCACACAAGAGGCTGCGGCAGAGGCAGCATTAATGTCTCAAAGGAACAACTATTGACATCTTAGTCCTTTGCTGGGATCTATTGAAGAGACAGAGCACCCGGGTCTGATAAAATGCAGACCTATCAGCCTCTGCAGGTTGTTAGTGAGTGTGCAAGGGAGGGCGCAGGGGTCAACGGTGCTCACCCATGACATTTAATAGCAGAGGGTGGGACTGCTGGATCAGTCATACAGGTTGTCAATGATGAGAGCGATCTGAGAGGGGAAGGGGAGGAGGTAGGAATCTTTGATGGCTTGCAGCGGGTCAGTTTATTGGGACTTATTTCAATTTAACAATCTGGTGATCCTGGATAAAGGGTATATATGTTTGCTAGTAACTCACATTTACATCACTATAGCTTACAGTAACAAAGACGGGGGCGTTGTGATTATTAATTTTCATTCATGGCGCATTCATCCCTAAGGTGTGCAGAGGATGATTGATATTATGATCTTTAAGGTTAATAAAGTCAAATCTTTCTCTTACTGTAATCTTTTCCTGTAGATGATAAAATGAGAGTCATGCTGAAAAGACCAGTTTGTACCAGGTTGTAAACATGGTAGATTCTGCTGTTAAACTCGCCATTTTGTTAAAGGGCTCTACGTGGACTGCATGACACCTGAAGCCAGCCTCACGGAGCCACCGGTGGATCTGCGATAGTAAAAGCTGTCAAAAAATACCAGTAAGTGTACTTTTGCATCAGTAAATGACCGACCATTTCTCCTGCAGATGATTTTCAACCATTACTTCACCCAAGCAAACCAGATAAGCTTCATACTATAAAGCCTCTCACTGTAAACAGTATATTTATTGAGAAGTCAGCGCTCCTTTACTGTGTGGAGTCAGTGCCTGACCACTGACCTAGAACAAGGCCTTAAAAAAGCTCCCGATCCATACAGACCCAATGAGACCTTGGCTCTCTACATTACTGAGATGGATTAGGTTAATGACCTCCAGCACTGACCTACATTCTCCCTGAGGGGGTGTACATATAACACGTTAGTTCATATTTGTGGCCTTGAAATATGGATGGTTATTTGAGCTGCAGCTCTCTCTTTCCATTAGAGATTATATTGCTTTACAGTAAGGAGTCCCCTGATGAGGCTGTTGGCCACCTTTTAGCCTTTTGTCTTTAAGCACTCTGCAGAATGATATAATAAAGACTCTAAGACTAATATTGGGTTCATGTTACCAAAATCTCTTGAATTACCACCTTGTATTTATCCTGAAAAGTGAAAAAGGGGTTCCAAAGTGTGAGCTGTGGACCCCTAGTGGGCGACAAAGGAAATGATTGGACACCTTGAGAGGTCATTGTAAAAATAAAAAATGGATAAAATGTCAGAATTAATGAGTGTTACTGTGACTTTTTATGCTAAGTATTTTTTATTTGTGCTCAATCATTTATGCAGAGCCGGCCCAAGGCATGAGCGAACAAAGCGCCTGCTGAGGACACCGCGGCCAATAGGGGGCCCCCAAGAGCAATCAAAATAATTATAATATTAATAATTTTTGCATGTATGAGTGATGCTTTTGTATAATGAAATATATATTATTGTAAAAATAAAATAAAGTAAAAATATTTCAGTGCTGCTGCTGATGTAAGCCTTTGATTCTTACTGCTAATATGTCAAAGCTCAGCTACCATTATGTGCTTCCCGCTGTGCAGTGTGTACTGAGCATCCAAAGTGCAGGTAGTTGTGGGGCAAAACAATGTCGCAAAAAAGGACATATCCTTCAGAAGCAGAGAAAAGAAAGAGAAGGAAGAGAAAAAACGCCAAGATAAAGGTATGTTTGCATGTCATAGAATGTTAAAGAGATTTGTGAAGGTGTGTGAATGATCAATAACCAATATTATTGACAGAAATAGAGGGCCCCAAAATCAAATTTTGCTTAGGGCCCCATTGAGGCTTGGGTCGGCTCTGCATTTAGGCCTTAGCCGCTTTACTCATTTAAGGTTTCTTCTTTCAAAATGTTGTAAAGTAGTTAATTAGAGAATTTCTTTTAGCTGTCCCTTTAAGGCCACGCCCCCCCTCGCCCCCTCCCACCAGGGGTGTGGTCTGGTAACTGTTTGCCAAAACCAACAGGTGAGTTTCAGACCAGGAAGTGAAGAGCTTTGAGCAGCCGGTCTTGTTTAAAAGTAACAAAACAAAGGCTGCTTCTGCATTTAGGGCTGTTTGCTTCTGTTACTCATGCAGGCTGTGCTGAAAACTTTAATAAACACTGTTTTACTCATTCACTCAGATGGTTTTTCTACTAAAAAATAACACAGTCAAATATGTCCACTCTCCCACTCTGCTCTGTGCTTCTTTGTCTCCTTCTTGGACTCGACATGGTTGTTTCCTTACTGCTCCCCTGGTGCTGTGAAGCTCTTCCAGCAGCATGCTGTGAGGCCCTGACTGGAAGATGGTGCTTGGACCAAAGCTACAGGAAGCCTGGTAAGATATTTTCTGCTAAATGTTGCCTTGGAGGGTTAAATCTCCCCAGCGGCTTCATATTTAATGCACCAGTGTTCGGAGAGTTTTTGTATTTGTTCAACCCTGAGCCAAAACTGTGGACGGCTACGCTGTGATAATGTCTTAGAGGAATTAACGAGTCACATTGATACCTGAAGGGAAAGAGCTGGTTTGTCAGATTGAAAGAAAAATTAGCTGCTTTGTATTAGCTGTTAATTCGCCGCCTCCTGTCTAATTCTATTCCCAGGAACATCACACAGAAGTTGAGGCGCCTGTTTTATCATGATACACTGACCCTTCTTTGTGTCTGATCTTTTAAATATAATCTACTAACCCAGTAAGTCTTCCTGACATTTTTTTGAGACACACTTTCACAAATCACCATTAAAAATAAGGCCAATAGGTGCGTGTTCTCCTCCATTTTAAGAATTCTTATATGCTATCTAAATGCTAATGATCTAATTGATATTTGTGGGCATGAATAACTTCCCCCAAAGCTAAAAACCAGAGCAGCAAGCCTTAAACATGTGCTGTCATAAAGATTTAAAAGCCTGGGAATACCTTTAGGAAGATTGATTTCTCTGACCTTAAAATGTTTGAGTATTGTCATGCTAATTTGGAGAAGGCTGAGCCAGAAAAATGGAACAACGTCAAACTAAGTTCACTCATTTTTTAAGCAGCTTTTTAAAATTATACCTGAGATTGAAACTCTCATATCTTCTTTAATGACGTGTATGTTTAACACTTTTTAGGCCACTTCTTTACTGTGGTTTTTTACTGTATGTTGCAGTCCTCTTTTGCCAGTTTGACTTTTAAATTTCTAATAATTCCTTTGTTTAAAAAGTTTTAAATTTAGCAAATAAAGTCAACATTTCCGTATTATTCATGACAAACAAAAAAAAGGGTTTTCTATCATTTGGGGTTAATATTTTGCCAAATATTCATATTAAACCACTTCTGATATATCACATGAATTTCCTTTTGAAGAACAAGGTGCAAAAAAGTGAGCAATTTGACATTTAGAGTACAGAGTATGGGTGCTGCTATAGCTATCAGTCATGTACGGAGGCCCCAAGTGGACATGCAGCCCTACCATTAGTTCACTCCATTTTCTTGTGATTACAGCCACTTTTCTTGAGATCTTGACTTTTTTCTTACTTTCAGATTTTAAAAAATTTGGATTTTTTAATTAATTAATTTATTTATTTTATGAAATAAGGTACTTTTCTGGTAATTCAGAAAACAAAACATGAGGCTGGTCACTGTTGTAGGCCATTCCTTGTTTGTGTTGTGTTTCTGAAACTCCTAAAACATCAAGTTTGACTTAAAATCTGATATTAAGTTAAGATTTCATGACACGAAATAAACTTTTTTACCACCAGAAATGGGTTAAAAAAGCTCAAGGCTCCCAAAGAAGTGATTTTGGTGACAGTTATCGCATAAAAGTTGTATATTTTTTTCTTTCCTGTTTGCAGAATGGGCAAAAGCTTAGGACTGTATTTTCGATAACCTTTCACGGCGCGCTTTATTTTAAGTAGAAACAGAGAAGACGTTTTTGTTACAACTCCAGAGAGGTTCTAACTTTTTCTCTTTTTATACTAAAGGTCAGCTTTTCTGTTTGAGTTTCACACTGAGAGGGTTCCCACTGTGCTCATTTCTCAAGCCCTTATCTGAAGATTAGACTACTTTTAGCTGACTGGTTTTCTTTAATCAGTGAATTTCTTAGTCTAGTTGACTTGATGTTGACGCAGTTTTAGCATTTATTCCTTTTTCCTCCATTTATTTGGAGATGTATCTTGCATGTGTAGATATTGTGTAAAATGTTGAGGGTTTGCAAATCATTAAAAGCTGATGTCTGATTAAGAAGAGTGCAAAAACAACAAATCAAATGCTGACATTGAAAATGATTATAAAGAGTTTAGAAAACTTAGGGAACAGTTTCTGTTTTTTGGAAGTGAAGTGTTGTCCCTAATGTTGGAAATTCAGCTGCTAAGAAGTTAAGGCTCTCCTTTGCTGTAATTTGTGTGTCATTTTGTACAAAATGCTTTTAATAGGTGACAAGTCAGGATTGCTGGCAGACCATTTTAGCACTTGGACTCCTCTATTATGGAGCCATGCTGTTCTCACATGTGCAAAGTTTAATTTGGTTTCCTCTTGCTGTATTATACAAAGCCTTCCCTGAAAAATAAAAAAAACATATCATGGCTGCATATGTTGCCTTCATAGATGAGTAAACTGGCCATGCCACGGGCACCAATTCATCTCCATATGACCACCATCACTGTCTTTTGAAAAGGTGCACTGAGAACAAACCAGAGGGCTCCTTTTCTCTTTAGAGCAGAGGATCCATGAGGATTGGTCAGACTACAAGACAGATTTCTACTGTAACTCAGTCCATCTTAAATGGGCTTAGACTTAGAGAAGTGGCTGGGGTTTCAGATTCATTTTAGTTAATGGTTTCCTCTTTGGATGGTATATGTTCATTGGCAGTGGTGTTTGGATGGGATTCTGAGCCCATGCAGTGATTTCCTTTGCAGAGTTATGTCCGTCTGAGAGTGGAGACCACGGTTATCCAGGACTGATTTAGGGTCCTGTCCTTTTTATACAAGAATGTCTCCAGATTTTTTGAATCTTTTTTGTAATATCTTGTACCGTAGATGATAGAAACTCAATTTTTTTCCACATTACTGTAAAATCACTGATCTATTGTCTCATTGAGCTTCTCGCAAGATAGTAAATCTTTTCCCATCTTTGATTCTAAGAGACTCTGCCTCCCCAGAGTGCCCTTCTCATACCAAGCCATATTACTTACCTGACACACCGTAACTAAATAAGTTGAGATTTGTTTCTTTGGGTGTTTTTAGCATCTAAAACTTGTTCTGTGTTGACCATATCCCAACTGTTCTGAATCATGTTGCTCCATCACATTTAAAAATTTTGAAATTACATAAAGGCTCTTATTGAACTATAAACTATCAAAAGCTGCTTTAACCTTCCTCCTGTGTTAGCTTTTACTACGCACCCACCATGTTAAAGGTCGGTTTTGACCCGTGTCTTAAATCAGCTGTAAATTACACTAAAAATAATTCTCTATCATCCAAATTGGTTCTCATCTCTAGGTTAACTTGTTAGGCTTCATTATCCATGTAAATATTGCTTATAATAGTTTTTGTAGTGGTCCTCTGGGCCTTTCTTTGTCAGTATTTTCCTTATACAGACATGTATACCGACTTGATTTCACAGGTCTGGACATGCCCAACGTTGTTTTTGGTTCAGGGAAAAACATGGCAAAATGAGAATTTTGATTGGAAGATGATTGGAAGAGGATCTGACTGTCAGTGTGGTGCCTAACAGTGCACTTATGATTTCAGTTTCTGCTCTGATTATTAGATATTGATCTAAAACAGTGACCCTAACACCACAAGTGCCATAATTTTAATAAGAGCATTCTATAATTTAGTCAATTTAATTTATTTATTTTTATTTTGTTAGAATACAGGTTCCTGACAAAGTCAAAAAGTCTTGATGCAAAAAGCTAATTTTTCTTTTTTTTTTTTTTGCATCCTTTTATTTTCACAGTAAGTAACTTTTATTTTTTTTGCATCACCACTTTTTTGTGTGTTGTTAACTTCCATTTTGGCTTTTTTTTAAATCCACATTGTTTCTTTTTTGTATTTGCAGCAGGCTTCGGTTTCTTTTTTCTTTTCTTTTTTTTTTGCATTCTTTTATTTTTGCAGTAAGTAACTTTTTTTTTTTTTGCATTGCCAGTTTTTTTTGTGCCGTTTACTTCCATTGTGGCTTTTTTTTTTAAAATCTGAACCATTTTTTTTCTATTTGCAGTGGGCTTCTGTTTCCTTTTTTTTTTTTTTTTTTTTTTTTTTTGCATTGATAACTTCCATTGTGGCTTTTTTTTAATCCGCACCGTTTCTTTTTTTTATCATTATTTGCAGCGAGCTTCGGTTTTTCTTTCTTTTTTTTGCATTGATAACTTCCATTGTGACTTCTTTTTTATTTTTTATTTATTTTTTTTTATCTGCAGCAGTGGCGGTTCTCAGCCACCGTATGATTGACCTGCCTTATGAATTAAGTATGTTTAGTCGACTAAAAGGATTGCTGTTAAGTGTAATTATGTAAAGAGATTCATGGAGATTTACATTTCTGTATGTCTTTAAACATACATGAAATGCTGTGACTTGGATATGGTTCCTATTGTGTTGCAGGTTTTTGTCAGTGAGCATAAGCTTAGCATTTCTCCACTGCTACTGTATTGGCTGATCTGAGCAGCATTTGCTCCTCAGAGCATCGATCTCCTTCTCCACTCATGTCCACGCGAGCCTAACTGTTGCTCCACCCTCTGAAAGTCGACAAAAGAGGAGCATGTGATGAGCTTCCTTCTGTACACTTGTGCATCGTGCTGCTGTAATAAAGAAAAAAAAACACAACTAAAGCGTGTTTCTGTTGTTTCAAATCCGTCAGGGGAGCCCAAATAACGCCCACCTTTGTTTTGCAGCACACAGGTCGAGTACTGAGGGCTGACCATTGACTGTAAGTCTAACAGGCAAGGCAGACATGTGGGCTGATGCTCGGTTACTGTACTGGAGCTGTCCGTGGTGCTGAAACCTGCACAAACAGGGGGGTTTGCAGCAAAAGGAGGTGCTGGTTTTGTGGCTCTTTTGTGCCGAGAATGATGAAATGGCACAGACAGTGAGGGCGCACGATGGAGCTGACAAAGACGATATCTTAGAAGAGATTTTGGAGTTATTTTAATGTTTCATTTTAATGCAGGAGTATAGTACAATCTTGGTGTAAAAAAAAAGCACAGAAAATGACTCGAGTTTGGTCAGTTTGGATTGGAGGTAACACTGTGATGATGTGGCGTAAAACACATTTGCGGGGAGCGAGTACTCTCAAGACACGGTGCGTCTCGGAGAGGCGATGTTTGACTTCAAATGCCATATTTAGGAAAAAGAAAAGCTTGATCGCTTTGAGTGGCAGGCGTGAGGACGAATGGCGTCCTGTGATTCGTGGAGACGCTCGAGCCCCGACGAGGAGCGCGCCCGAGCCAATGACAGTGAAGAGCTCGTGTGTGCATAAGCGGTGGATGGAGCTACTCCGGGTATACTTCCGCGTGCAATGCGTGTTCGTGTGTAGGTTGAATGGATGAAACGGAGGGAGCGGAGAGGTATAGGCATGCTGTGATACGGCCCTATATATTCGCCGGCAGGACTATCTTCCTTTTAAAGACAACCTCCTCCTCGCATTGGTTTCCACTCAGTGATGTCGCGTATTTGTGTGGCGCACCTGTAAAGAGCGAGACAGGCATAAGCCGGCTTTTTTAATTATTTGATTCCTTTTATTTCTTCTGTTCTTTTTTCCTTTTGTTTCATGCATTTGCTGAAAGGAACTCATTTCTGTGTTTTGATTTAATAAATATTTCATTTCCTCATTTTATCTTGTTTGTGTTGGCTTTTTATGTTTCCAAGTTTGAACTAAAGAGAACGGAATTCATCCTTTTACGAGCTATTGGCCAGGTGTTGTCATTCAGAGATTGTTTGCCCTAAAGGACGTCCATAACTTTCATTTATAGAAACGGTAAGATATTTTTCAACATTTGCTCATTCACCTGAATCGATATTTCTTCCTTTGTCAGCTCTCTTTGAGGACACTGTGTGGATTCAGATCATGCATCCACTGTAGTCTCTTAGTGCATGTTAACGCGACAGGAAAGTCACCGTGATCTGATGCATTCATGTTTCCACTGACGCCTGCTGAAAATTGCGGTGCCTTGGCATATCGTGGCAAGGATAGGATGAGAGGGCGATCACCGCACATGTGCTCAAATCTTAGCCACCCCGAGCCTGCAGAAGACGTGGTCGGACGCATAATGCTCTAGTGTGGAAAAATATAGGCCTAGGTAGAGTGTTGAATCGTGGGATCCGCATACTAGTGGGCTACTCTACAGCATCATAGAAAAAAAGCGCTATTGTGAGGAGAAAATTAGCCTTAAACAGGTGTTTTACAGGTTCAATTCCACATTTCTGCTTGTTATAAGATCTTGTTATAATAGCTGTTATTTTATGTAAATGGAAACTTGCATGTGGGTTTATATCCTTAAAAGAATCTACAATTTTTGGTGCCATTTAAATGCAAAACAGCCTTGGGGGTTGAGGATTCAATGTAACTCTAAGAGGAGTAGTAGCTACTTTGCTATATATAGGTTAAGTGCAGCTTGTGTGTTATGCTTCTTGGAGTTTGTGGATTGTATATTGTAAATTCTGGTCAAGCTTAATGCAGTTTTGTAAATATCCATGTTTTATGAAGTTTGAACAGGTCTTGTTGGGATTTTCCACGTCACAATCCATTCATTAGCTCTCCTATTTGTGTAAATATGATTATAGACTCGACTGGGCAAACAGTAGTAAGAGTAGGGTGAGTCAAACTTAAGTAGAAACGCCAATAAACAGCTGTTTATTCCTTTAACTTCATGTGCTTCCTCCTCTGGAGCTGAGTTGGCATCGTGACGCAGTTTGAGGGCCCCTGCATCAGCACTTTCATTTTTCCTGCACTAGGTTTTAGCTGTGAAATTAGCTTAAAACGCTGGCAGCATGCAGCTAAAAACTACACCTGCAGCAAATCAATTAGTTAATAGTGTATTTCCGGGGTAGAGACGGGGTCTGCGCTGATTGGCTGAGGGTCTGATTAGTTTACTTAGGGTGGCCGTGTTCCCGCCACCGCCCCTTTACCACTGCGCAAAGACGGCAACGAAAAGTTTGATGTCTGCAGGCTTTACATCAATAAATACCCGCGACGCCGATACAACACCTCAAGGTAAGACACCAGAGAGACAAAACATAACACGAGAGGTTAAACTGAGTGCGCATGTAAACATTAAAAGAAATAAAGTAGGTTTAAACAAGCTAGCATGACCGGAGAAAGGCTACGACCGCACGCTACTAGGTCGCACATGTTGCTGCAGAACCTCGTTAGGAAATTTATTGATTTAACGTGACCCAATGCTGCCCTGTTAAATATGGCTTTTTAGCTAGCAAAATTAAGTTACTTTAAAAGCAAGTTCCTGAATGAAAATCGGTGCAAGCTAATACGCAGCTCCACCCCTGTGTGAGAAATGAATCCCACAAACCGCGTTCACCAAACTCAGCAGCGACACTCTGACCGTCCGCTTAAACTCCCTTTCTCCAGCACAGGCACCGCGTTCAGTTCACAGAACAACGCCACATGGCGGTGCAACTCAACCAAAAACTTGCACCAAGCTGTAGCTTCACTAAGTTTTAGAGCAATATTCGACTGAAAATGAGTTTCGGCGTTTAGCATAGTACAGGCCGTTTTGTGTGGAAATTGTGCCCAATATTTTAGACATTGTCGGAGTGGAGTGGCGGCCCGCGGTGGGTCTTGTTGCGCATGTTGCCTGCAGCAGCCCAGGTGTCACTGATTAACTAATTAAAGCAGACAGCTTCGAGCTCTCCTCCTCGTATCCAATTCACATTGAAGTTCACCCAATTACTAAGAGCTTAGCTCAAGGCAGGAAACCTTTGAACCTTTTAAAATAAAGTTTATTGGTGAATTCAGATTGGTTTTAACATTAATATCACTTTAACTCTCTGTTTTTAATATTGTTTATTGTTCTATTACAGTTTTGCATTAAAACAATAGAAGCAGTGTATTTATTCAACCCAGGAGTGGGCTCTTACTATGACAAATCTTAGAGTTGTGCATCTGAGGGATCTCCCTGTGTGTTACATTTATTATTAATTGTACATTTTTAAGCTATGAAACCATGGGTCTGGAATAAACTCAAGTTTTTATTTCACTACAGTAAGCTTTATTTTTCTACTCGTAATTTTGTTATTACAGTCCTGACCTTAAATTGTGCATCTACCCAATCTCTCAGGCTGAAAATGCTCCAAAAGCCCTCAGCTTTTGTGATAATAGGAAGCTAAAAATACAAATGGGTTGTTGCTTTTTGTATTTTTTTGTGCTAGATCTGTCTGAGAACAATTTTACACTCTTACCCCCGCATAAAAATAGGTGCCTTCTTTATTTCTGCTTCTGTTGGTGCTTGTGACTGAAGTATCTGGCCTTGAATCTTGAGAAGGTGAATATGTTGAAGCCTGAGGCATCAGCGGTATAGTTGGCAGTCAGCGGTGAATAATCTCCAGTTGGTAGGTCATGAAAAGATTACATATCGCCGGGCCAGCAGCTAAGAGCCTGACCAGTTAATTTAGCAGGAGGTTGCCAGCACACAAAACATCTGCTCCTGTGGGGATAGGGGTGCAGACCAGCAGAAAGACATGTGGGTGCTTGTTGAGGCTAAAAAGGTGTGAAACAGGCGATTGCGTGAGAGGAGAGTCCTCAGTTGTTAGTTTAAATATAACTTGTGGTGCAGTTTTCTTGCTGTTTGTTGATTTTTAAGAGTTTTCTTTATATTCTTTGCAAAATATGTAACAAGTGAGAAATGTGTAGGACAGGAATCTGATGTGAATATATTATGTTGCTGTTAAAGTATAATCTTTTCTCCGGTTATCTAATTTTAAATTGTGCAGAAAAGCATCCAACTTTTCATACGCTAAAAGACTAAATATTGTACGTTTTAAAAGAGTGCCTGAATTTGGCAGAAGTTAAATTTAAACCTTGGTTGCAGATTTTGTGACAAGTTTTGCTTTAGTAAAAATAGAAGAGGGCCTCCTGTTCCCATTTCTATATGTCTGCTCCTTTTAGGCTTTTCCCTCCTCTCTGTTCTTGCCACTTCCACAATTTCAGGCAGCCTCTGTGCTCCTGAGAGGGACAGGAGATAAGAGCGGCTGTCTTTATGTATTATTGAGCCCACACGTTTGCCTTTCTAAATAAAGGCTGCTGACAGAGTGACTAAAATGCAGGCCAGTGAGCGAACTTCCAAAGGCCACATCACTGCGCTCTGTACAGCAATGTGTGCTGCTGGCAGAACTGGGTTAGCCTACAGTGGGTGGCTTTACCGAGTGGGAAAAAAAGCAATTTTGTCCCCTTTGTCCTTCTTAAATGCCCGTCCCATCCCCCCTTTCTTCTCCCCGTGGCCTCCTCCTGGTCTCCCCCCTCTGCAGTGATCTGGTCTGGGCTGTGGATGCTGCTCAGGACTGTGTGTGTGTGTATTTTTTTTTTTTTTTGCTCAGTTGGTCTGTGTTGTGTGTTGGCCACAGGGTGGCCCTCCCTCTGCATGTGTGGGTCATTACTGCAGGACAACCATGCAGTGTTCTTGAGCCTGTCACTGCATCCCAGCAGCTTCTATATATCACCACACATCACGCCCTATATAGGTGTTATGTGGTGTGTTGTTTTGTGTACTTTAATGTTGGCTCTGTAAGTGTGTAGGCCTCTTATGGTGAGAAGCAGAGGGAGTGTGAATATACCTGATGATGTCTGACCATCAGACTTTTAATTTTTATTTTTTTAGATTGGCGGTTATTGAACAAGTGTTGTAATCTCTAAACTCAGATTTTAAATTTGGGGTTTTACTCTTAATTTGATCAGAGCAACAGTTTTTTCTAGTTTATAGTTTAAGACATGAATAAATCAGATTTGACGCTCTTTAGTTTAACACACACTCTAGTTTTCTGTCTTGAAGAGATGGTTTGTTGTCTGTATTTCTCCATGTGTATCTCCTTGTCAGCTTTTTTGTGTAACATAGTGGATTTGTCAGTATCCAGGATCTGTACATTTCAGTCTCAATCTGCTACCCTGTCATGTTTTGAAGACAAAGGAAACTCTAACTAGATTCAGTTTCAGTTTTTTTAATAAAACAAAAGAAAACTCTACTTTTTCATAAGCAGTGACATGCTGATATTTATCGACATTGGCTCACAAACAGCAGAAGGCCAGAAAGACCAAAAAAACGCCTCTGGTCATAATTTAAGAGCAAGTCGAATCCAGACGACCACGTGTTGCAGTCTTTCCAGCTCTGAAAACCACCAAACTTTCTTCAGACGGTGTGTTTTATTTTTCCTGTTCACTGTGCTTCTTTCTAAGTGTCGCAGGAAAATCATTAAGTCATCCTTTAGAGGCAGGCTGTTGATTTTTACTCAATGTCGCATCACTTTCCAGTGTTATTCTGATCAGCTCCGGCATGAGGCGGGTGCTGCACTATGACACTCGACTGACTGTAACCTTAAATGTCAACTTGCAAACAAAGCTGGCTGGAGGAGAGTTAATAGACTTTGAAATACAGAGAGGAGTTTTCACAGGGTTCAGGTGCACCTATATGGCTAACACTGACTCCAGGTCAACCAGCAGCACTTCATCAGGATGAGAAACAGTTGAAGGAGTTTTTATTCGGCTGATAATTGCAGATACCTTCGCTTGTTTTGCAGCTGTGCTCGTATTATTGTTGTTGTCTCTCAAGCAATCGCTTCACTTTCCAGTGTTGCATGTTGTAGCATCAGTCCGCTGCAGTGTGTGGGTAGACTCGTCACATCTGTGTTTCCAGCTGGGATATTTTGAACTGTTACTTGTGGGCTTTTAGTTTTCAAGGACAGGCCGTGCATGTCAGCGTGCACACTCTGGAGTTCTTCACTCTGCGGCTCGTCACGCATACTTGGTCAATTTAATCCTCTGAGGAGCTCGTAGCAGAGATTCGTGCCTCCTCACTTTAAGTGCTCGGTGTCACATCAGTACATGCTGATCTCGCTCTCGGCTTCAGGTTCGTCTTCAAGAAGGTGCGCAGATAGTCTTTTGCCAGACTCTGTATGTACATGTGAATATCCTAAAAAATGGACTCCCTTTTGATGTGGATTTGCCACGTAGGTATTAGATACATCTTTAAAGGAATGAGTGAAATGTCAGGAAACAGATGTCAACGACCTTTCCAAAATCAAATACCAGCATTAGTACAACGATACAAGCAGATAAGCAAGAGTATGAATCAATGTGCATCTACTGCAAAGGTTGGGGGTAATAAAATCTATCCATTCCCTCCCCCTCAGTTGTGCAAATCCTTTACAAAGAATCAGACTATTCTCTCAAATCAATACTAGCAAGCACAGAAGTTGAAAATGTTTTCTACCAAGAGCAGACTGCTCTGTGGCCTTCGTAGTAACTGCTGTTAATTGAAACTAAAATGGCAGCCTCGCTGTCCTCAAGTGGCAGCTGGGACTTAAATACATCTCTCAGATTGGTTTTGATTTAAGCTGAAAAGAGCCCTGCAACCTTTGGATGAGGATGAGATTTGTCTCATACAATCCAGGTAGTAGTTCTAAACAGAAGTACTGCAGCAGCTCTTGATTATTCTACAATTATAAAGGCTTCATGGATGTTAAGCTTATGATGTACCCTCCATATTCATTAGTTAATAATAAAAATAGTCGGATCAATTCCTTAATCTTTGAAGCGGCTAATTGGTTTGGCTCCATAAAGGCAACAGGTATGAGGCACGAACAGCTTGTGATTGATTCCATATCAGTAGATTTACATCTGCACTCTCATAAATGTGATCAGCTGTGAAATGTTGCTTCCAAACACCCACTCAGTCACTTTTTTAATGTGATTAATTAGCACAACCAGTGAGCAGCCGAAACAGAGCCAGCAGCACCAGCTTCAGAGGTTGAAGGGTGACATAAGGAGAAAGCTCAGGAAACTGCCCACAAATCAGCAAATATCTGAGCCCATCACTCGCATGTGAAGTATTGACAGAGCTGTGCCCTCAGTGCTCAAAGTCCCTGGCTCTTTTTTGCATGTTGTCATAGTGACAGTATATATCAAACTTTTTTCCTTGTGGGAAGGTCAGGAGCGATCGCTGTATTCGGATTAAGGATCTCTGCATCTCTTATCAGTCTGACTGCGTGCAGAAGCTCCTCTCCCCCCTTGTGAGACGTCTGTGGGATCTGAGAGTACCAATAACTAAACACGCCACGCTGTAATGAGTCCTAAAAGGCAGCCTGCTCAGTGGGGTAAAACTGTGGAGGTGGATGGGTTTATTTTAGCGATGATGATGATGATGGGGAAACAAAAAAAGAACCGCGTGGTTTTCATCTGGGGCTGGTTCCTGATGAAAAACCGTGAGGCGAGGCCTCTGGGGAAACAAGATGCTCCGCACTCAAATGCGTGCACTAAGAGGAGGCTGCTGGCTGGCTGCACACGCTGAAAGCTCGGACTGAAATTTTTGGGGAGAGGCGTGTTGCCAAGCTTCCTCTTCCAAGTGTTTATCTAATGAAATATTTCTGCCTTGTGGCGCTTTCTCAAGCGGGACGAGAGCCAATGTTTGTGCTTTGTAGTTCGAATAAAAGGTGAAACATGAAATGGAGATTGAAGTAAGTCATTTTCTTTATCGACAATATGTTCTCTCACGGCCTGCTTCTCTCTGTTACTCTCTACACGTGGGGGAGGCAGCATGTGGAGACCAGAGCTGCTTAACATTGTGGTTTTTGGCATATGAGAAACTCTGGCTGGATATCACTTCCATTTTCTAAAATATCTGTTTTTGTGCACTTTTTGTCATGTTAACAAAAAGTTAATGTGTGAAAGCAGATTTTAATTATATCATCCTGATATTTCGTCGTCACCAACTGGGCTTTATACGGTTTAGACAAATAACAGATGGAGGGAGCAGCAGGAGGCTGAGGTTGACCAGGAAAGTTCACTGTGGGATGTTTGCAGTTGTTTTGGACGTCTTATTTTACAGCCCGCTGACACGTTTTCGCTTTTTTAGATAGTTTGACTTTAATCAGTCGATGTTGAAACTCTAATGTAGCCGTTTGATGTTAATCCAACTCTTGTATATTTTGGCCAACATTCAGTGTTATGTAACCCTGTCATTTATGACCTCTGTTAATGAAGAAACAGTCATTTTCAAAATGTTCACATTTGTGTGACTCGTGCTGCCAGGAGAGGATTCTGTTAAAAAAGTGATTTACTTTAGAGAAGTGGGAGTGTCTGATGTGGAGATGATCCACAGGCAAGTTTGAGGTTAGAGTACAGTCACTTTGCCTGCAGTCTAATTCTGCTAAAAGTGGATTAAACGTCTGTATACTACTTTACACAACAACTACAGCGTCTCCTGAGCAAGTTTAACACATTTTAATTAATTTAAGGGATAATTTATAGTAAGGCAGTAGTTCTGTAATATGTAATCCTGACAAAGGGTTTCAGTTTGACTTGTATGACCCCACTAGATACCTGATAAAGAAAGTTCACACTCAATACTGATTTAAAGAATGATTTTATAGATACAAAAATGAATTTATTAAAACAAAACTTCCTCTAAATCCACAGTTGGTGTGATATAGAGTTTTTGTCAGCTTCCTTTCTGGTCAAATAAACTTTGAACTGAATGTTTTCAGTCATGGTTAAATCTCAGCAGACACTAAAAGATGACAGCAGCACATGTATGAGATGATTTATCTTCTAACACCACAAATCAACACCATGTTTACTTTAACATCCCACACTAGTTTTCTGTGTTTATCCTCTCATCCTTTCATTGATGGGAAGTGGACAGTCATCAACTGTGATTAAGAAATAATAGTCTTCCCCAGATAACCAAGAGGCACAAAGAAAACTCATCCATGTCCATAACTAAAAGATTTAAGATACAAGTATTCCCATGAGCTAAAAGTTGAAGTGATTATTTTAGGCTCCTTAAAACTTTTTTTAATTGAAATTTTAAGTTTCTATTTTATTGTGAAGTCTGTTTAACACAATGTCAGCACATGTGGACCACTTCAGGAGAAAGTGATCAAATCAAATGTAAAATTGCTTTAAATTTATTTTTATTAAATTTATCTAATAAGTTTTAAGGGCTGAAACAGTTCCTCAAACAAACTGTGTTCCTCGCTGTATTTTGGCCATGAAGACTATTGGCTCTACTTAACCTACATATACCAGAAAAACCAGGCTTAAAAATTAACCCAACAAAGTAACTACATTTTAATTAGTCATTGACACGATCATAAACAGAGGCGGGACGTCAGCTCACACCTGCTGAGCTGAGAGGAAGAGAGATCCTGTTAATCAAATAACTAAGGTTTCCAGTGTTTACAGATGTTTGGGGTTATTTACCCCTCTAATCATTTCAGTTTAAAATTTAGTCTATTTTTGTTGTATGTATTTACTGGCTGTATTTATAATATACCATGTATAGCGAAGAAGAAAACATATTTTTTCTCGTTGCTTTAATGCTTGCCCAATCAGCAGCTCTCAGTGTGGTTTAAAGTTCTCCAGATCTCATCCTTGTCAGTCTGCTGGATCTGTTCAACTAGGGCTGTGCTTATCTGTTGATTCACTCGCACTTATTACACTTAGACTGACTGTTAATCCTCCTCCCACCAGTACAGGAGTCACTCTTTACCTTTCTCTGGGACAGGAGTTAAGGTTTGTTTGGGTCTCCTCTCATTCTGGCCTGTCAGGGCTGGGGTCCCACAGTTTCTCTGTGCTGCTTTATAAGGGTGTGTGCAGACTTTGTGACTGGGATGAGACTGAGATATTAGAGATTATAAGTGTCTAGATGATTTGACATGATATTAGATTATGAAAATATCCCTAAAATGTCAACAGTTCAACAGGAAAATGTGCTATAACAGTACTTTTGTTGTTTACAATCCTTAACCAGGATCGTACAGTCGCCATGTCTCGCTCTTGCTGGCATGTTTTGATTGTAGGTGGTCATCGCGTGTATTCTTGGTGTGTCGTGTCTTTTGTGTGCTGACTGAACCTGCAGAAAAGTTGCTCTTCTGATTCAAAGTGTTGTCCTGTTTCAATGTTCGTGCAACATTTCTTAATTTTCTTCAACTTCGGCCTGTGAAGAATACAAGCCACACTCACGATGTTTGGATGTTCTGGCAGCTTGGCCGTAAAGTCTTTAGCCCCATAGACTGATTCAGCGTGCACTGTTACAGCGCATGCTAAATAATGCTTCTAACACAGGTCACAGTAGCAGGATGTGGGGTGTGGTTTTTGTACTTCATACATTGCAACATCCTAGTCGAGCACAATGTCGAGAGCTCATGTAACACCGTTTATTTTGAGCAGAACAGACTCTGAAGTCAGAAGTGAAAGGGGTCACATTTCAGCAGAATGAGCAGTTCCTGATGTAAAGAACGGTTTAGATGTTGGCTTTTCAGGACTTGAAGTGGCTCACAGTGGATCAGTGTACACAAAAGCGTAGTTAAAACCGTGGGTATCTTATTTTAAGTTTCTCTCTCTGAGGCTGACTTGCATGTTGACCTAAGCGAACCTCTTACTAGACAATTGACTGTCTGCGTGAAGACCCTAAGTGACAATCACGTCCACTCATCTGGTTTTGTTGTTCAGTGAATGAGACGTATTTGTGGTAATGGGTCGTGTGGGTCGAAGCTGTTTGCTGAACGGCTGTAGTTTCTATTTTTGCTGGGTTATGTAGTCATGGGTTTTGACCTTGGCTTAGGGACATGAATCAAATGAGTCATGTACTTGCACTTATGCACTGCAACACTCGCAGCGCAGTTTGTCTGCAGTCCATTCAGGAGACAGACAACAGTGGCGGTAATGGATGCATTACATAATAAAGACGAAAAACAAACAAACAAAACAAACCTGAGTGTGTGCGCACAGGTCTCCTCAACTTTCATCTTCAGTGGAAATAAAGTCGTAAACATGATGCTGTTAATGATCCATTTGGGATGTTGAAAACGTCCAAACAGTCCAAATTTACAGCTCAAGTGACGCTTTAATGGCTACAAAGAAAAAAGTTTTACCTGATCCTGAAACAGCTGCCTGAGTGTAAATTATACGAACACATGGCCGTGCTTTAGATTGTCACAGGTAGTTAATCACCTGCTACACACCAGCAAACACTGTTGAGTGAAGTAGATAAGTGACATAAGAAAACATGGATGCCCTGTTGGAAGAGTCTTTCTCCACTTTAACCTGCTGTGATGCAAAGTCAATAATCTTTCCCTTTAGGCGACTGTAGAGGAAATAGGCGACCATGAATGCACACGACACCACCGTGTCTGTTATTTCCTGCTACATGTGCGCCGTAAATTTAGGAGGAGAACTGTCGAAGCCTCTCTCTGTGCTGCAGAAAGATATGTGGTTTGTTGATGATTAACACTTAAGTACATTGTCATTTTTAGTCAGGATATCACAGTAGACAGTCATCAAACACTCACAGAACACCTCCAGTTTTTCACACTTGAATAAGCTGAGGTTGTAATTATTTTCTAATCGAATGAGAGTCCAGAACGCGTCCACAGCTGTTTGATCCGACTGACACCGAGCTGTTTGCTGCAATTTGTAGCTTCACGTGTATTTATGTACATTATGATGCATAGCGGAGCCAATCGGTGCATGCGACACTGACAGCTGAGCTGCCGCAGTGTTGTTACACAATTAACAGCCATAAAAAGCAGCACATGAGAAAGAAACAGCTTGTTCAAATAATGAGAGGTGGTCCTCTTCAATCGTGACAGCTGCACTGATTTAATTCCTTTAGTCAGGATTTGAAATAGCTTTCAAACAAAAAAAAAATGAGATTGAGGGGAGGAAAAAAAAAAAGTATTTCAGTGGATGTGTCAAAAAGAAAATGTCAGAGGAGTGATGTGTGAACGCTCGGCTCTCCGGTAATGTTTATTGACGTGCATAAACTTGCATAGACCACAGTGTGAGGGGATGATGGAGAAATTCAACGCAATCAAGACCGCATAACAAATCCAATCTCTTCCTCCGACTCCCTGCAATCATTTATAAGGAAATTTAAGATTTAATGTTTTGATTCATACATTATCTATTCCTCTGGCAAACACTGAAAATGGCACATAGGCTGGTTTAAGATGACCCCACTAAGAAATATTGATCGAGCCGTATCGACTTTTCACCGCTTCATCTGACAGTTGCAACGCTGTTTTCATCACTTGAGTAGAGAAAATCAATTCGCATTTGAGATGTTGCAAGTTGACATTTTCTGTAGATGGAACCAACAAGGTGAAAGAAGTTCATAAATAAGACACCAAGTGTTCAGTTTTATGTTTGGAGACTGTAGCGTATAACAACTCACAATGCAGATAAAACGGAGCTGTTTTTCTTTGCTCTAACGCTACGGATGTGAAGACCTCAACTAACATGTCACCAGATATGACAAGTTTCTCGCAGGAGCGCTCTCTTTATACGAGGTTTAGCAGGGTGCCTTCACTTTAAAGAGGTGTTAAAATGTCCCTGTTTACATCAAGAAATCATCTCATTAGTCAGTTCAGTACATGGTGTAAAAAGAAGCAGCAGCATCTGACCTCCTTCTGTGTTAGAAGATGCTTATTAGGGCTTTAACGAACTTTTCATCATAATTTCACAATTAATAATAGTGGTGGGAATCACCAGTGGCTCTACGATACGATATTATCGCGATACTTGGGCCAGGATACGATATTATTGCGATTATTGGGAGTATTGCGATACAATGTATTGCGATTTATACAATTATTCCAACTGTTTAGCTAATTATTTGTCTTTCCTTTATGTTTGTCTTATTTACGCTGTATTTTATTCTCATGTAGCACATCTTGCAAACCTTATATATACTTCTTGTACCAACTTTCTCCTGCTCTATCATGTCACCTCTGCCAACCTCACTGGACATAGATTTGACTTCATATCAACAATCAATTTGAAAAATCGATACTTGGTAAATGAGACGATACGATATATCACCAGACAAAATATTGCGATACTATGCTGTATCGATTTTTATTCGTACCCCTAATTAATAAACTATTATGTCCAAGAAGTTGAGACCAAAATAGTTGGCGATAAACTTTTCCTGTAAATACAAAATCTTCTTAATTTCACATTATAATCGGCATAATATCAGTACTGGCGGATAACGTTTTAAAGTTAATAGTTGGTATTTGCAGACATGAAAATATCTGTTAGTATGCGCCGCTGTAGACATGACACATTAATTATGCACCAGCCAATGATGGCAGCTTACACGAGCGTCAACGACTGTATGGATTTCAAAGCGTCAGAAACAAACAGCAGACACATGCCTGAAGAAGATTAATCATATATGTGAGAGCAGATGTTTGTCAGCGTCTTAAAGAGCAGCAGGTAAAGTCGAGTACAGGAGAGACCTGGTGTTCAGTACTGAGGGAGAAAAAAAGCTGTTTCTGCATCAGTGTTGATATGAGTTTGGGACTGAGCGAGTTGAAAACATTGGCACGCTGGGTATTGTCAAAAAAGCAAATGTTCTGCTTCCCAGGTTTTCTGCAAGTATGGCAAGATTTCCAAAATAATTTAAAGCTCCAGTGAGGAGTTTTTGTTACAGGTGATAAACCAGACGGAAATAAACAGTGACGAGACTATCAGTTAGAGAAAGAGGCGACTTTTACCATAAGTCTTTTATTATGAGTGATACATGTACAGACTACAGACAGCAGATGGAGACTTTCTGTCTCAGGTTTGTGCAGGACAAGACCAGCAAAGAGACTCGTGTGGGAACATCTTCAAACTGGAATATTTCTGGCCGTGAACAGTGTGATGGTGTTTCAAATCTGTCTGAGTGTATGAATTAGTGTTTTTTTGTTGATTGAATTCAGTCTTCTTGTGGTTTTGTCTTTGTCGGTGTCCTCTCGTTTATCTGTGGTTCATCAAAGTTTGAGCTCTCAAAGACGTAGAGGAACCTTGTCGATGGTTTCACAGCGGGTGTTGACAGTTTTGATGCGTCTTCTGGATTTGAGTAATCTGAGCGATCATCCTGATGCAGCACTTTCATCCATTTCGCTTAGTCTCATTCCTCATGCTTCCTAGACAGGTGTTCCTCCTGTTTCCTCCAGACTGAGGGTGAATAGTGACGTAGTGAAACCTTGCTTCTTCCTGGTTAAACCCGATCTTGCATGGACAGCCAGTTGAAAAAAAAAGACTCTAGCCTCTTCCTCCTCCCCCCTAAGAATGCCATGTGATCACCTCTGACTGTTGATTTGTTCTTGTTGATCTAACATGAAGTACTTTTTGTGTCCACATTTTCAGACGGCAACTCCAAACTAACATGGCAGTCAGACTGTGCGATGTGGCTTCTCTGCTTAGAAGTGGTTCGTGGGCGCCTGAGCCTTGGACTGGGGTCTGTGGCACTTCTTTTTTTTTACAACCATTTGGTGTCTCAGTGCTCAGGCCATACCAATGACGTTAGCTCTTTTTTTTAAGTCATACTTTTCGATGCTCAAATCAAATTGATCACATTTGTTGACGTAAATCACAATTTGGATATTTTGGGATATTTTTGGCTTTTGCTCCTGAAAAGCTCCCATGTTGTGGCTGTCAGTCTGTCTGTATTGGTATGGTCTAACCCTGTGTGATACTGTCTACTCTGATGTGTTCATGTCTGATTCATTTCTTAAAATGGCTTTACGGCACCGTGGTGTGACTCCACTGATCTGCTGTCTGCACATGGTGAACATGTTAATAAAGGAGGACTCTTCATACATCGATCTGTCGCCGGTCACCCAAACTGATTTCCCCCAAAATCCTCTAAGATCTGCTGTCCAGTGTGTGAGCATGGCTGCTGTTAAAGGCTTGCAGTTTATACTCTAACATGAGCCGTTTCACTTGAATTTACCTCTAAAGTTTGCCATTTCCAAACTCAGAATCGTTTTACATCTAACAAATTAATTGTTCACATCAATTTCACACTCAAAAGTCTCAATTTTCTTGTCAACAAAAGCAGCAATCACATACACTTGAAAGAGGAAGTGTTATTCTAACTTCATGTTTTCTACCTCTGAAGTTCACCCTCACTAACTTCAAATTCATCGATTAATCAGAGCTAAAGGCACTAATTAAGATTATTAAACCAACCTGTTAAAGTAGATTTTTGTTATATTATACAACACTTGCGTAAAACATGAAATAATGATGATTTTTCTGCTCCCTACAGCTTGTTTTAATGTAAAGGCAAAAATCCAGATGAAAACCCCCTGATCTTTGTGTGAAGAGAGTCCTTTTTTAACTCCAAGTTGATGTTTTGATGTTTCAGGCCAGTCTGTACGGGGTTTTTGACTTGACTCTTCTTTGTCTCTTTAGCAGGTAATTGCTGCCATGGAAACACAGCTGTCCAATGGGCCAACGTGCAACAACACAAGCAACGGTCCTTCAACAATCTCAAACAACTGCTCCTCGCCTGTAGAGTCAGGAAGCATAGAGGACAGTAAAACTAACTTGATAGTCAACTATCTGCCTCAGAACATGACCCAGGAGGAGCTGAAGAGTTTGTTTGGGAGCATCGGAGAAATCGAGTCCTGTAAACTAGTCCGAGACAAAATCACAGGTAACTCATACGTTTGCTTTCTAACAGCGCAGGGCCCGACAGATACAGTATGAGCTCCAGAGACGGATCGAAGTGGAGAATTAAGTTCCCAAAACTTCTTTCTTTTCCTTCTTTACTTTAACACTTAACCAAATATTGTATCAGTCGGGCCCTGCTGGCAGTTCAGTCAGCGCCATGAGCTTTTGTGTTTATGCATGCACAGTATGGGATTTCCTCTTTGTGTATTTGACTCCTAGCATCATAAATTATAAATTATGACCTTTTTACCTCCAGTAAATGCAGAGGCATTCGTTTTGAAAGGCAGCCAATCATTCTGCATCTCATTATGGAGAATTCATGGCAGTGTCTCCTATCCATCTATTACTAAACCATCCGAGCGGCGGTATATCACTGATTTTAATTGCTATATATACTGCTTTAATATGCGGGATGACACTAGTGCCACTGGCAAAATGGCATTTCCAAATCAAAAGGGGCCCCAGGGCAATTGAAATGGATTCTATGGAAATGGGGCTCTCCACTGAAAAGGGATATTTCTGTGGTTTTAACCTAGAAATTTAAAGGGACATTCATTTTAATTGGACTATTAAATCTCTCCTGTTTGAGCATCGGAGAAATGCAAATAATGTCAGGAGGTTTTATTATGAGCTGGCAGAGACTCGCACTGACATGGACTGTTGGAGGCTGGGAGATAATTGCGGAGTCTTCTGGATTTTTTTTTTTTACTGCATGCTGTTTTTGGTCAAGGTTACCCAAACCTTCCACCATCTGTTTGTTGTGATGCGGCTCGGTGGTTCGGCACACAAGCCTCTGTGGTCTTTTTAAGGATGCATACACACATCTGGTTCATTTGCATTTGGTCTTGAAACTCGAGGAGCCTTTGAGTTGAACACATCTCTCCATTAAAACGAGGCTGGAGGGCAGAGGGGTTGTTGGACATTCACAGGCGGAAATCTGAAGGGTTAATACATGTGGATGTTTAGGTTTGTGTCATGTCCACTAAGAGTTTTCAGCTATACCGTCTCCTTCCTATCTAAAAGGCATTTCTCTTATACATGCATTTAATATGAAAACAGAGTTAGTCGCCATTATTTTCTAAGTGAGATTTTAATTTGGAGCAACAGAACAGATGTAAAATCAGCGTTTCTGTTAAATTCTGCTGTTTCATAAGCCGAGGCCACGCTGGTCGAGCTATCTGGACTGTAGGTGGAGACTGAGGCCCGAACTACACGAATGCGGATATATTTCAAACCGCACATATTTATGTCCGATTAGGCCTCCCTACCACACCAAAACGGGAGTTTGGAGCACTCAAACCAGATAAATCTGAATCCGAAAAAACAAGTGGAGAAATCAAAAAATATCCGTATCCCGTATCCGTAGTGGATTCGTGTGGTTGGACTTTTATGGATCGATGACGTCAAACCGCAGCTTGCGCATGCGAATTAAAAAGAAAAACAACAACAACGATGGCGGACAGACAGGGTATTCTTTACGTTTGTTTTGCCCTTCTGGGGCTAATTTCAGCCTTGCAAGTGAACCTTGTTTTATACAATTACATCCACCAGTCAGCCAGCTCACAGAGGCGTCTGCTGCGGCCAATACTTTTATTGGTCACATAGTCCGTCACATGGACCCGACGCACGAGCGTAGCTTCCGCAAACAATGCATGACGCGTCACGCTGTTACGATTCATTGGCCAATCAGGTAGCTTTGTTCCTGAATTTTTTTTAAGCGGCACCAGATAGGATTGAGTTTGACGGCTACATGTGGACGCAGATATTTTTGAGAACGAACACGTGTGGACAGATACATTTATTTAGACGGGAGTACAAAAATATCCTGATAAATAAATATCTATATATGTGTAGTCCGGGCCTGAGAGAGGAGGAGGAGGAGGGAGAATCATAAATAAAACTTAGTTCACAGAGGTTCAAAAGTTAAAGGTTAATGAAAACCGAACTAAAGCACCTCAGTGTAACTCATCTACACCTGTTTTTACTACCAGTATGTCACAGCTTTGTGAAGGAGTGCTGTAACTTTGTCAGGATGCTGTTTTCTGACGTGTTTATTCCAAAATGAAAGAAGACACAAAATTATACCGTAAAGCTTAAAATGAAGCCAGAATGTTTGCTCTTTTTTTGGTGCAAAGGCAAATCTGTGATCACGCACTTTTAAAAGTTACAAGAGCGCAGTGGGAGTTACTTCGTACAAGACCAGACACTGCTTTTATTTTTGGGTGAATCTGTCTCATTATTAATGACTTGACTTTGTTTGTGCAGGTTGGTAATGAGACAAAAACATCCAGGAGTTTGCCGGGGCTTTAAAGAAAGGATCATTTTTATTTCTCCTGAGTGAACAAGTGTCCAGTGGCAGCCTGCGTTTCATCAGCATGCTCTGTGTCTCTAATGATTAATGAGAATAAGAAGTACGCTGTGGACGCTCATCATGTATTCACTGAATTTCAACTTTTGTCACGCAGAGATGACAAAACTGTGGAGTATGTGGCCCTGCGTGGACTCAATGTCTTTGTGTAGTCATGCATACAAGAAATACATTTGATTTGTTAATGTGTGAAGTGACAAGTGATCCTCGAGCTCAGCCTGCCCAGCTGATTGAACATGAAAATGCTTGATAGGTTGCGTAGGAAGGAGGAGCAAGTGGGAACATAGCACTCCCAAGTAATTTAAGTGCAAGGAACTAAATAAAACAAGTCTGCTCTCGAGTTATACTTGAGGGTAATGCCGTACGCCTCCATGATGAGGGGGAGCGACAGAAATGGAGACTCGGGTTGTTCAAGTAACATAAATGAACGTTTTTGAGGTTTGACCAAAAAAAAAAGGAAAAGAGTGTTTGCTGTGAGCCCTCAGATGACTCAGATTTACAGACTAGCACTTGAAAATCAGGTTTGATCTTAAAGCCGACCTGTGAGGAGAAAAAATCAAGACATTAATAGATGCAGAGAAATCGTGCCAGAAGCGTAGGTTCCTATATGCTGCTGCATGCAAACTGCCTTGTAACTTTCTAGACCCAACTTATTTCAGACTCTCCTTTTAAAAGCAGAAGAACAGATTGAAGTAGATTCACGTCGACAGCCTGACCTTGTAGACTCGCTTTCTCTTTGTGTTGATTAAGACTTTTTGGCACCAGTAAGTTGTTTGCAGGGATTGGAAAAATAGTCCAGGGTTTTGTAAATTTGAATGTTCCCAGTCGTTAAAGTAGATTAAATTATCCATTTAAATGAGCTCCGTCGCTCTTTCTTTGCTTTTTCAGGCCGTTCGTTTTATTTTCAGTCAGAATTTGGCTCTTCAGGATATTGAAATTGGATTTTTTAACATTTCAAAGGCGACGGTTCAGTGACCATTTTGAGTCGCTGTGTTGTTGTCGTCGTTGTGTGCAAATAACTCTCTGTATTGCCTTTTTTCATGCTACCTTTGATGCTTCAGTAACTGGATGAATTTTGTTTGGCTTGCCACATGCAGCTGTCCTGGAAGAAAGTCAGAGCCGCTGAGCTGGACGCAACTGTCCGCTCGATGTGCGTTTATTTACGTCCGCGTGATAAACCGGATAGCTGCGCATATCTCGGAGAACTTCCAGTGTGCAACTTTAGTGAGAAAAGCGTGCAATGAAGAGTTTGGATTTACACCAGTTTGACTGTTTTTAGACTTTCAGCTGCTGTTAGATTTGATTCGAGGTGACAGATGCACCGGCGTCTTCAGTGAAACAAAGTGTGTAGATGTCTGTTTGAGGATTCGGAGGACTCTCACCATCACTGCTGATCCGATCTGAAGCAATATGCCGCGTGAAAGACGTTCTATTTGATTGAAGGAATTACATTGAACTCCACGAAGCTCTATTTATGATTTATATGTCTTTTATTTTATTCATTAGATGGTATATGTGTCAGCGCTATAGAGAGAAACAGCAGTGTTTGTGATCACACCAGACTTTTCACATGAATGCAGGCCGACAGGAGATGTCAAACTTTATATTATTTAATCGGTGCAGGACGAAGAATTTGGTGCATTAGCAGAAAACAGGCAACATTACCATCATGTAGCACTGATGGTCTGCACTATAAGACGACTCCAGATTTACGTTTCTGTGGGTTGAGTCAACAGAAGTGCGATACCGTGGTTAAATATTGCAATAACAACTTGTGGTGCATGCATACACAGATATTTAAGAGAACATATCGGCTAATTCTCAAATCTTCTACATGTTTTTACCTCATTTCAAAATAAATCTGTTTTATTTTCCAACTTAATTTGTAGGGTTTATCTGAATGTAACTTTGGCTTCATCAAAGCGTTGACCATCCTACCTCTTAATACTGAACCAGTTTTCTGGTTTATTGTGATGAATTCAGACTTTTTTACGGTGTATTTATTGTGATTTCTCAGCGTGATTATTTTTACACCCTTGAACAGTCGCATCATGTTTGTGGTTCCTGCGCTCGCCTATAGAGACCGCTCCAGAACCCTCACTGCTGTGTTAATGTGCTGGTTTCTGATGTCGGTTTCACTGTCAGCTGATTTCGATCGTTTTTGCTACATGACAGATTTTGAAACATGCTTTTGAGTCAGAAAAGAGGATTGATGCCTGCTGCACCAGTAAAGCGTTTGATGGTATGTTTCCATACAGTTTGATGCTGATGAAAAGTTTCTAACCGGCAGTCTGTAATAAATGAAGCTGTTAAAGCAGCATTTTCAAAAATCCTTTTCATCTGATAAAAGCTTGAATTGGGACGGGAAAAACTGACTTCAGACTCAGTTGGGGGAGAAATTGGGCCCTTAATGTTATTCAAAGCCTCCAAGTCATTTCACAGGAACGATGCTCTGATTTCAATTTCAGCTCTACATAAAATCCTATCCCCTCCAGACTGTGTTGCTTTTGTCTCTCCCTTGGCCCTGTGGCAATGGATTTAAGCCAGCCTACATCTGTGTGCTGGTGCTACATCAGATGTTAAGTAATCACCAGAGAGATGCATGCTTCCTCTTTGCTTTAAATGTTCTCGCCTTGGCTGCCGCTGCTGCTGCTGCTGCTGCTGCTGCTGCAGCTTAGTCTTTGTGTCGTTTCTTTTCCTCCCACTATGGGCAGCACTCGTCTTTAACTGGAAGCAGGGCGCAGCTCTCTGTTTGGGAGTGCATCTCAGCGTGTCGTCTCTCTTCCTTAATGACGGCTGAAAGTGAGCAAGTTGTTTGTAATGGGAACATGTGAAGGGCCTCCGAGTTATGAATGTTGATGTAGCCGATACTTGACGTTCCATAGGAAGACATCAACATGAGCGTGGCGTGCCCACATGCGGCGTTTACAGTAGAACGCAGGAAGGCTGGTGGGGGTTTGCCCCGCAGGCTTAAGTAAGTGTCATTTCACCAGCTCATTTCAAAGGCTCGGCGTGTTTCTCCTGGCTATAACAGTCCCAGAGATGTAAGGTGAAATTAAGTTTATGAACTTGATTTGATCAGTGCGGAGCCGCCCATGAGAGCTGTGATTCATGGTGGTAAGACAGATAAAGACAGTAGGGCTGCATATAGGCGTTCAGATGTGGCTTAATGCTTCGAGCAGCTGTCTGTTCACATCTTCCTTACGATTGCTAAAAAGACTTCTTTCCACACATGTGTTAGAAAGTATAGATTAAAGATGTCTCCTAACACTGAGGCGAATGTAAAAGCTAACGCCGCTAACAGGAAGTGTGAGTGCGAAGAGTCAGACATCCGTGCGTGCTGAATCATTGTTTTGACCCGTTTAACGTGATCTCAGGCTCGTGGAAAATCTTAATCAAAATACATCTTAGATTGACAAAATAAAAACAATTCTTCATGAGAGGTTTTAATATGCTGAAGCAGCTCGGGCTGGTGAACTTGACCGGCAGTGGAATTGCAGAGAGACCCAGCAGTGTGGGTGGAGGAAATTGAATTGCCTCTGTGCACATAAAGAGTGGGTGTCAATCTATTGTACATTTTAGAGATAAACTGCGGAGGGAGGGGAACACATTGAGCCACGACTGCTGCACTGTGTCAGAGATGAGCCGCTGTGAAAGCAGAGCAATTGCCTGTCGTTCTTAATTTAAGACGTCCGTCTAAAGAGTCATTTTGAGATTTTTTACTGTAGCGGTTCGACTAATAGATGTTTGCTGAATATGAGCTTATGACTTCTGTGTTTTTTAGGCTCTGCCAAAGGAGAGATCAGCTGTTTATCTTTGTGTCCTTGTGCTGCTGAGACTTGATTTTTTTAGTAACGCCGATGAAAATCTAATAAAATCAGCAAAATCAAACCTGTGTTTCTAAGAATGTGTACAGAATCTAAACTTATGGATTATAATTAATAGTTTAATACAGGCTAAGACTCTTTTGAGTAACAGCGTCAGGCTGTGCTGCTGATCTTAGATCTTTAAAATCTTCCTGCACACACTACAGGAATAAACGATGATATATCACCATCCATGTACAGTGAGTAGATTTAAAAGAGGTCGTTTTGTTTGTGTTTCGACGTCGCTCTTTATTAAATGTGTTCCCTCTGGTCGTGTGTTTGCAGGGCAGAGCCTAGGCTACGGGTTCGTGAATTACGTGGACCCGAAGGATGCAGAAAAAGCCATCAACACCCTAAATGGCTTGAGACTTCAGACCAAAACCATCAAGGTAAGAAGTGCCGCGTGTTTTTTTCCCCCTTTTCACATCCGCTGACAGGCACGGACATGTTCATCCTTACCTCCAGAGTGCGACCTAATCAGGCAGTCATATTTCACTCACCGAAATCTGTTTCCATTCATGACCGGTAGCAGAAAAACCCCAGGACTTGCCGCTCAAGACCGGCTCTCAGGGCTGGAGTCGAGGTATAATGAGGCTGGAGAAATGTGGGGTAGAAAGGGAGCCTATTGTTAATCTGGGCACATGCAGCTCTGCTTGGGCCTCAAGTAGAGCAGAACTGTTTCTATGGTTGCATGTGCTGTAGCACTGCTGTATGTCTTTACAGGGAGGTGGCTGCCATTAGCATTCATCAGGCGGTGCAGCACTCAATGTGCTGCTGGAAAACCTCATTTGCTTCGTATAGTGCTGCAGGATTTGTGGATGGTGGAGCCAGATTATGAGATGTGATATTTTTGCTGTGGTCTTAGGAGGAGCGAGGCAGATTCCTTCTCACATCTGCAGAGGGGGGGCTTTGACTGAAAATGTCTGTGAGCGAAAAACACATTTAGTGAGAGAAAATTCCTGTTTGAATAGCGCCAAATTGTGAGCTGCTCGCTTGGTTATTTCTGTATTTAAACGTTTGAATATTACAGCTGAAGATGAGGCGTGTTATGAGCCTTAGCTTTTCATTCTCATGAATCAAACAGCACACATCTTTTTCTCCTCACCTCATTCTCAGTTCATACCTCTGAAAGTAGAACATGGCAACATTTTTTTTTTCTTTTTTTTTTTTTTTTTTTTTAAATATCACACATCCAAAATCCTCTAGCCGCGCTGTCAGAAGTGCAAATAAACCCAGCGAGGTAGAGGAATATACTTTGCAAACATTAGCATCAAATGAAGTGTGAAGGTGAGACTGGGATGGGAGGGAGGGAGAGAGGGAGAGAGGGATGAGGAGAAGAAGAAGCGAGGGAGTAGCCCGGCTGTGGGCAGGGAGCTTTAGCTTTCACGTTCGCTTTGTCAGCCCTCCCTTCAGGGCAGGAGCGGGCCGAGAGTGAGAGAGGTGGGGCGACTGAGTAGAGCTCTTATCGATCCAGGAGCACAAAAAGGAATCCTTTTTGAAGGTTTAATTAAAGTGAGTAAATCCTTTTCATACGATCCATTGCATAAGACTGCAGAGAAGGACCTGCTACAGGACAATTTAAGGCTGTAATTAAATCCAGAGCTGCTGCTCTTCAGGTAATTGACAGTAAAGATAAGTTTTCCCTCTCTCCGTGTTATTCCTCCTTTAAATTCAGGCTGCTCAGGCTCCTTCTGCTTGATATTGTACAAGTGTCTCCATGTCTGCAAATGGGACGGTGTACTGGGAAAAAAAATGACTTTATGACTGCTGAGGGGTGTAATGATGTATTGATCCACAAGACCTGCTAGATGACTCTCTGGTCTCTCTCTGTTTTCTATTACCTGGCTGTGTTTATGGACAAATGTTGATTTATGCCGCATATTTATCCGGCCGGGCGCCGAAGGCTCCCCGCACGTCTCTGGACTTTTAAGACGATCCTGGACGAGATTGTTTTTTTCGGAGGCAGCGGGCGGCCTTCCTCTGTTGTCTAAAGCTGTATGTGGAAATAATGAATTTATTTTCAAATGAGAGGTGTCTAGACGGGCCTGATGCTGCATCCATCTCTGTCACATTTCCAACCGAGATGATGGACAGAAAATGCACCAGTTTAACCGTTTCTCTGGAGGACTGATTCATCGCTCCACATAAATATGATAAGAGGACAAAGAGGGCGTTTGCAGCATATGAACACGGTTTTGTAACGGCCTTGTAGTTATGAAAATGCTTTTAATTTGTAGGAACATCTATTTGAACGTAGGTTTGCTCTACTTTGTCGGCGTCTTTGAGTCAAAGTTACACACAGGCCTTTATTTGAGTCCATTTTCTCAACTGCTGTCATCACCAATTATAAGTTTCAGTCATTCTATTTTCTTTTTATTCATGCAACTTGATGAATAAATGATCAGAGCATATTGAAATGAGGGTACACACGTTTCATCTGTGAGCTACTTTTCTGTTATTGTGAGTAGAAACGTACACAAACTCGTGCGCTCTGAGCCTAAAGATGAAGTAATCTCATAATAGGTTTAAAAAGGGTCACTATGTTACCTTTGAATGCATGTAAGATGAAAACATGAATTGCTGACGTCTTAGCGGCTGTCACAGTAACATGCTTTCCTCATGTCTCCACCTGCAGGTTTCCTACGCGCGTCCAAGCTCCGCCTCCATCAGAGATGCAAATTTGTACGTCAGCGGCTTGCCAAAAACCATGACTCAGAAAGAACTGGAGCAGCTCTTCTCTCAGTATGGACGCATCATTACCTCACGCATTCTGGTGGACCAGGTGACTGGTGAGTAGAACATGAGGGCTGTCCTTTATTTCCATCCCCCCGTTGACTTCCTGAGCCTCACAGCCATCAGCAGTGGTCCCAGGTCTCCAAAAACCTCAGGAGATGGTTGAACAGTACCTCTCCTTTTTTTTTTGTCCAGTCTTCTCCCGCCTGCCTGTACCTAACGTCTCTCGCTTTCACTCGCTTTCTGTTCCAATCCCCAAGGTGTGCATGCAGCGCCTGTTTCAGGCAGGAGAGGAGGTGCACTAAGAGCAGTTATATTTCCCGTCTCTCCACTGTCGTGTGGAGCAGAACCCTCATGAAACACTAATCAACAGGATCTTTCACAGAGACATTTCCCGGCAGTTCAGTGCTGGGGAAACTCGTAATATTCCTCCAGGCGTGCACAGTGGGAGAGCTGGTCTTTGTTTTTCAAACATAAAATCTCGTGTTTCAGGAGAATTCGCTCCGAGTGTTGCTTTTGTATTAATCGAGCTCTGGAAACTGAAACATGAGAGAAGGGAAAAATTGCTAAACAAAATGTCGACTATAATCGCTGACGAAGTGAAAGGCTGCCTCTCTGTTTTATGGTGTAATTTTACCACGATGGTTTCTCAGGGAGAAAACTTTAAAAAGAGTTTAGGAAATGTGGAAATGTTTTAATCACCAGAAACTGTCAAAACACATAAAAACAAACTAAAGAAAAAAAATACACCGTGAACTGCTCGAGGTGATGGATAACTTTTACCTGGTCAACACGCTGAAGCTGAAGGTAAATAAACAAAAAAGGAGTGACGTTGGAATAAACCAACTGTATCTGTTCGTGTAAAAGTCTAAAAACATCCTTTTTTCTCTTCGTGAAATAGCTAGATTAACGTTAAAAACAAATAAATAAAACCAAAGTATCTGCTAATGTTAGCTTGTGGATAAACGCTACCTAACGTGAGCCGTTTGATTCATTACACTCGCTCTTCTCCTTCACCTTTCTCTGCCGTCACAATCTTCGCTCCTCTTCCTCCTGCTTCCTCAGACGATGGGACTCTCTTCTGGTGCTCCGTAAAACAAACTCACCCTTTTCTCTCCCCGTTTTGCGCTGCTACACATTTATTTTGTGCTTTTAGTATTTTATTTTCTTACTTTTTGGTTTTAGTGTTTGTCCCGAAGCCTTTTCTTTGCGTTTCTTATTTCAGATCTGATAAATAAGAGAGCGGAGGTTCATGCTGCACTTTTGTCTCTGACTGTTATCATACATTTAAAAAGCTGTGATTATTACTAACAGTCTGTCAATGTCCTCCCCTCAGGCGTCTCCAGAGGAGTCGGTTTCATCCGTTTTGACCGTCGAGTCGAGGCGGAGGAGGCCATTAAAGGTCTGAACTGTCAGAAGCCGCCAGGTGCCACCGAACCAATCACGGTCAAGTTTGCGAACAACCCGAGCCAGAAGACCAGCCAGGCCCTGCTGTCCCAGCTGTATCAGTCACCCAATCGAAGGTACCCAGGACCCCTCGCACAGCAGGCACAACGCTTCAGGTAAAAGGGGCACACCAAAACAAACGGAGAAAAGAAATCTGATCAGAGTCTAGTTAATACTGCTCGTGATGTCTGAGGCGTTCTGAAATTAGCATTTAAATAGTCTCACAGCAGTATTCTGAACATATTCTGTGTTGGAGCTCATCAATACTCTGGACAGAATAATTCATCCCCATTTCACATTTTCAACTTTGCTGTGTTCCTCCTGTTGCAGATTTTGGCCTACGACACATTTAAGCCGATTTCTCACAAATACAGAAGTGAGATGAGTAATACTCTGGTGGGTAAAATTGTAGATGGTCGTATAATTTTTGGCTGTTTCACGACCGTTTTTTGCCCGCTCTGGGCGATAAGTGTGGAAATGAGCCTGTGTAAATAATGAAAAATCTGCATATTTCCAGCCCAACCTGCACTTTCTTTAGAAACTGTCAGTCTGCTGCTGCTGGCAGTGTTTGTGTAGGTTGAATACCGATAAACAAGTTCAGCCGGCAAGTTAATAAGGACACCGTCTGGGGAATCACCTGACTATAAATGATATCAGAAGTATTACTCATCTCTGTCATCCTGTCAAAAAGCATCATCAGCCTCATGGAAAGCTTTCTCTCTAATCACGTTAATGCATCCGTGTGCTGCTGTCTGTGTTTCTTAGGTTGGACAATCTGCTGAACATGGCCTATGGAGTCAAAAGGTAAATAGATTATGTGCTTTAATTGATCCTGTGGGGAATTCAGACCGAACAGGAGGGAGTTGATGGGAGACGTTTTTTTCTCCTTTTGTTTATTTTTTCCCGCATGAGCTCTCAGCAACATTGCGTAGGTAGTTAACACTGCATAAGGTAGCCTTGATTGAATTCAAAGACGGCGCTTTTGTGTGTCTGCATCGGCGTTCCCTCTACAAACAAACAAACATACATACATAATCCAGTCGGTGTCAGGCTGTTTGTTTTAACAGGAAGTGAGGATGTAAATATTTAGCGTGTGTGTAGGGTGCAGGGAGGTAGACTTCGTGCAGCACATGCTCCAAGAACAAACCTAACAAACGGTGTTGCTTAAGGTTTCTGCTCCTGGACGTAGACCGTGTCTGATCTCTGTCTCATGAAACAAAACTGATCACTACTGCAGGGAAAAATCAATTAACAGATTTTTGGGCAATAAAACACTGATAACACGGATAATAAGTCAAAGTTTGTTTATCTAGATATATTCTAAAGGAAATCTGAATAAGATATTTAAGATATTAAAACTTTATTTTTTAGATGCTTAAGGGGGGAGCTTTATTCCTGGTGACGTCATTCTTATAGGGAATAACTTTGTCACAGCTGCAACAATCACAGTTGCAATCTTTTAAAGAAAAAACACTTTCAGAGTTTTTAAAGCAAACTGAAATAAAACTACATTAAAAATTTTAATGATTTTGCTAAACATGCTTCAAGATTATTTTGCAGAAATTGCAACGTTGAAAAACCGAAATTGTAACACAGAAGTCGTAGTGTTTGTTTACATTAGACTTGCAGAGTGAAGGTTTTAATACAAGCTCATTTTCTCAGGTTTTTTTACAGGCAGCCTGTGTGTTTGATGGTCCCTCACTGCTGGGGTAACAGGCTTTTAAAGTTGACAAACTTCATATCAGTTAGAAATGGATTTATAAGTAACAATATCTTTGAAATATTCACAGTTCTCAAAGGTAAATAGTAGTTTGTATTCTTGATAAGACGATCATTACAATGTTATCGTTACTTAAGTTTTAATGTAAGACAACTATTACTTATATTTACTTAAGTTTTAATGTAGAGAAAAGGCCCCAAATTAAAACGTCACCTAAACTGACCCTGTCTGAACTAAAAGCTTTATCACTAAAACACAGAAATGACTTTTTATTGTATAAAATGAAACCTTTATTTGTTCATGAATATCTGACTTTTTTAGGGTATTTTACAGGTACTCAATAGAAACTGGAGAACTGCAGTCCAATAACAATAACGATAATAATGGTATCGTGATCAACATCTTTTAAAAATCTCAAACCTATTTACTCTGCTCAACGTTTCTGTGTTTGGCTCCTGGGTCAACATTTAGCAAAGTAGGCCACCACATTCGGCTCTAAAAATAAAAGGAGTGTCCCAAACCGAACAGCAGCGAATGTTCGTCTAAAAACGAACAAGAACAACAAACAAACTTGTTGCACTGAAGTACGTTGTACCTCTATAATCCATGAGAGTGTGTCCTGCCCTGCTGCAGAAACTCTTACACTCAGTCTGCACAGTCAGAAAGTAATTCACCTTTAAGCACTTTTACAGGCAATATACAGACATTTTAAAAAAGGACATAATTAAAGTTCTGCAATAAAGACAAAGTCACACAGCTGTGTCATTGAAGCACATGAACCTGGAGCTTTTGGATAAAATAAGGTGGTGGTTTAAAACCATAGACTGTATATAAAATGGACAGCGTCTGCCTCCTCGCTGGGTGAAACCACCGTGAGAACAGCACCCTCTGTTGACCGGCTGCTGTATAGGTCATAAATCCCGCCTCCGCCAGTAAAGCTTATGGAGCTGTGGACAAACTTTAGAAATTAATCACACAGAATATAAATTTTTCTCCCTCCTGCTTGTGATGTTGACATGTAGTTACTGTAAGACTGGTTTGTGCTCAACTCCTCTTTTTTTCTGTGAAGCTCCGTTTTTAAAAGTTATTAGGGGGTTCATGTTTTCTATGATTGACACCTGATACAGTGTATGGGCGACTGCGCTGCCAAATGTGCGTATCGCTACTGCGCAGCTCTGGTTTCAGGAAATGAAGAAAAATCCCAGAAATATCGAGAGCTATTTGGCTTCAAATCCGTATGCAGGCGGGAGGCGGAACCAAGTTGTCCGTAGTATATACAGTCTATGTTTAAAACACAGCGCCACCATCCTGTGTGGATGTGAATCAGCGGGTTTTTATTCTGCTGAGCAGGAACTGTAAAAACACTCTCTGTAAACCACCTGTCATTTTCTAGACAGACCTCTAATGTGTTTCCTGAGTGTTGGATGATAAACATACTCCAACATGCCGTATATACGGTTCAGAACACAAGCAGGTGGTGCTTTAAATTTCAGTCAAATGAAGTTGAATGTGTCTCGGTCCGAAATCAGGTTAGTGACAGTGATGTGCTGAAGTGCTTTAATCTCAGCATTATGTCACAACATGTCTAGATTAAAGCGTTGTCTCTGCTGCTTGTCTACATAACAAAGGACAGAATTCCTCCGTCTCTTACTTGCTATTGCACAAAATTGCATACTTGTATTTTGAGCTTCCTGCTCTTACCTTGATCTATTATGGACAGCCCTGTCCTGTTTTAAACTTTGTTGCGTCAGACAGCTTTCAGGATTCGCCAGGATACCAGTTTGTCTAAGTTGAGTTTTATAAGAATGCCTTCCTCCAGTATGATTGAAGTCCAATCCCCTGAAAGCTCAAAGGCCCATCTCGGGCGACAATAGACTTGTGATTTTCTCTTCTGCCCGGCTCATCGGCTGACGTCTTGGTTGCCAAATCTCTCTGCGTGTCCTTGATGCTGGAAGCACACCTGTCATGGTGGATGTTCCCTGAGAGGCCAACTGGAGCAGCTAATCTTATGTGACACCTGCTGCAATAATTCATAGGCTTTCCATGCACTTTGAATTTTGTTTCATCAAACTGTAAAACCACATTTGCCAAAAGCCAAGGCTTCTGCGTGACTCTTTCTTTCAGCCCTGGCACAGGCTTCAGCCTTAATGTGGTACTTATTCTAATTTGGCACTTTCTGTTCTTGGGTAAATGGTTTTCGCTCCGGTTTTCGTGGGCACAAAAAGAGCAAAGGCAAGTGAAGAAAGCTTGAAGTTTTATTTGAAGGTCTGGTATGAGAACTGGTCTGTGACAGGTTCTCTTTTTTAAAGGCTGACATCCTAATGGCTCCGCTGAAGAAAACGTCTTTTCTCTGATGATCTGATGATTAAAAAAGGTTTTTTTGTGAGCAGAAGTCTGCAGGCACCTCTTAGTGGAGGAACACAAACACCGCTCCGTAGAGTCTCCATACTTGTCAGACTTTGTTAGTCTTGTTTGCACGATCCCATGTCTTCTGAAAATGCTGTTTTGTCCTCGTTTTGACTCTTGCCTTAAACTGTTACCTCTGTTCTCACAGCAGGTTCTCGCCCATGGCCATCGACGGGGTGACCAGCCTGGCTGGCATCAACATCCCGGGGCACGCGGGCACCGGCTGGTGTATCTTCGTCTACAACCTGGCTCCCGACGCAGATGAAAGCATCCTGTGGCAGATGTTTGGGCCGTTTGGTGCCGTCACAAACGTCAAGGTTATCCGCGACTTCAACACAAACAAGTGCAAAGGATTTGGTTTTGTCACCATGACTAACTACGACGAGGCGGCGGTGGCCATCGCCAGCTTGAACGGATACCGCCTTGGGGACAGAGTGCTGCAAGTCTCGTTCAAAACCAACAAAACACACAAAGCCTAAACCCCACTGAGATTGTTTCTAGAAAACTCAGCAGAAAACGGAAACAGAAAATGGAAGCGCATCGACCGTAACTTTCTACATTAGTAAAAACAGCTTTGTAAATCAGTGTTACGAAGAAAAACAATATTTAGCGTCCAACAATGTGATTTTTTTTTTTTTCTCTTCTTTTCATTGCTACGCTTTGAATCTTCTCAATATACTTTAAAACAAGAAAAAAATCCTGCAGGTTCGACTGCCTGTGATGTTGAATTCTCTTGCTGTCCCTACAGATGGACCATCTAAAAACGTTACGATAGGTTTTGTCATTTTGTTGCACATCTGCTTTGAAACAGTAAGTCTTGTACGGTTTTGTGTAGTGATTTTCTTTGTATTAATCTGTGTCCTGATTTTTTGCCTTAGGTGCGTTATGCCTTCAGTGGTTAGCGAGTACTTCTTTTGAACTCTTTGCAGTTGAGTTGATTTTGTAAGTATTCCGTTCATTGTAATATGAGTTGGTTATTGGTTGGCTGCATAATGTTGCTTATTGTAAAACTTAACGGATAAAAGACAAAAAAAAAATTCTTAAAGCAGTACCTTGCCAAAGAGCTAAGAACCTCTTTGATGTGGGTTTAAAAAGCATCTATTTTTATAAAAAGAAAAATTTGGAGAAACTTTTTACTGGACCTGGAACAAAATATTTTGACTTGGATACTTTGAGAAATATCTTCATATGACACCTTGTGAGCTTTTGAACTTTACAGGAAAGTTTGCAGTGGTTGAAATTTCTGGGGAGATTTATGATGTAAAAGATACCTTTTGAGATCTTTGTATTATCTTTAGATTATAGAATCAATGGCAGTGCTGGTTTCATTTGTAAAATCATCTGTGGATCCCCCCCGTCATCCTGATTGTAACGACTAGCGACTCGCTTTCCGACCCGATTTGGAAACGAACAAAAACACAAAGGTTTATTCGCTAAATGTGCATGCAAACTAAAACAAAAAGGGAGAAATCTTTACCGGTATGAGGGGGGATCAAAAATCAGTTCTTCCTAAAGGATTCCCTTCAGATGGATCTCATGGTGTTTGTGGTGTACCTACGATAACTCATTCGACTGATTTTGTCTTAATATTGACCACTAAGGGTTTTTACATACTTTGTATGAAAGGTTGAAGACAAGCCAGTGAAGGCAGCAGCTTAAGAAAAACTAGTCAGAAGAATAGAACGGATTACTCCTGAGCTTTGAGCTATGTAAATAAGTCCTTTTTTATGTTGAGTATTTGCCAGACTTCTTTTGGTTTCTAGTTCGGACTTCATCGGAAAGTGTGATCTTATAAATATTGTTTGTTTTTTCTTTTTTCTTTTTTACTTTTATGGAGTATGTAAGGTACTTTTATTTTGAATATTTACCTTTTAATTTTTAGGTTTGCCTTCAGTTTAAAATACTTGATTTGTTGTCCCATGGACTAGCATTACAGTGCATCAAATTTGTTGGTTGTTTGGTCTGTAGATAGTCTTGCTTCGTAAAAAAACAAAGGTATTAAGAAACTATAGACATATGTTTTTGTTTTTTATATATAAACATTATAGATATATATTTATGTGGTAAAGAATGGATATAAACCACAGTTTTGAACTATTTGATTAGTTTTTTTTCATACTCATATATATACGTAATGCATATAACCTGTCTTTAAAATCGTAAAAAGGTGTATATTGCTTTATTCACTTTGGGGGAAGGTCAGTGAAGCAGTTCCATTTCGCTAAATTTGGTTGCAAGAGTTTGTCCAACATCGAACTCATCTCGAACAAACAGACGGAGGCCGGTGGAGCCTCAGATGCACTGAAAACTGCACCTGCATCCTGCTTGGCATTTAAACCAATTACTAGTCATGCTTCCCCTTAAATGAGCAGTGTGCTATGCATTATATAATTATCTTTGCGACTGCTTTTTCTCGTTTCTCTATTCCTTCTTTGTGTTACTTGTAAAAGTTAAATTTAAGTCTAGATGAGTCGTGATACTTGCTGCTGTGGGGGTGGAGGCCTCGTTTTTCATGCCCGACCAGCCGTTGTTAAAACGATCTTTTCTTTTCTTAGCAATTCTTTGGTCTTGATAAATTGTGCTGATGGCCGGGCATGAAAAAAGGGTCCTCTCCCACCCCTCTACTCTCAATTCTTAATATGAGAATGATTATTTATTTGAAGTTGTATAGTCTGACTCGGTTCACGGCATTTTTGGAATAGAATATCTTTTTGTTGAGTATTTAAAAGGATGTACATGTTCTTTACTTTGTGTTTGGATACTTTGGATTTTTTCCATGTTCAGTACATCAATAAATAAGTTGAAGGGCAATGAAGCTTTGTGAATGGATTCCCATCTGTCCTTTTACAGACGCATGCGGCAGGTAAAGGAAGTGTTTTCATGTCATTGTGAAGTGAAGTACAGTCCTGAAATATTTGTGCACTAACCCTCTTGATTACAGTTAAACAAACACGGCAGAAAAAGGAGGATATGACACACGAGAAGTCTTTCTTCAACCGAATCATACACCTCGCAGCCTCTCCGACACTGTCATTCCTCAATTTCTGTCTTTTTCGGAGCACACAATCAAAGTTTATTGGGTTATTGATTAGTGAGTGCTCTGTAGCCATGGTGACCATGCTCTCTCCACTTGTTGATGAATATTCTCTGGAGTAAAGTTGAATTTCAGGCCGTAGGTTAGCTTTGTGTTTTCTTATTTCGAAGGCAAAACCTGCGCAGCCGTTTAAACGCTTGTTTCAAGCTTCTTCAAAATCCCGTCTCTTAAATAATCACATCAGATAATGGGGTTAGAGTTCAGGCTCTGGCTGGGATGTACCGTCACGAGGAGCAGCACAAAGCTTGAAGGAAAAATCCTGATATAGAGTATTGATTTTTTTCTCTCTTTCCCTTTCTTTTTTTTTTTTTTATCTCATGCTCCACTTGAGGCAGACAGCCTCGCTGAAGATGAAATGGCCTGCTTTGAAGTGCGCTTCCCCACTGCGCCGCCACCTCACACTGCCCGACTGTCATTTTTAGGGGCATTGCAAGGACGCGGGCGGGAGCTGCTGAAGAAACCACTGTGCTTTTTTTTTTTGTGTGTGTGAAGAAAGAAAGCTTTTAAGTGTTCATTGGTTCGAGTGTGAAAGGGAAAAATGCAGCGGTTGCTGGGTTTAATGAAAACAATATTTACGGCACGCTCAATCATGTCGTTTCTGAACTGTGTTTGGCTGGCGGAAGATAAGGAGGCTAATCTGTGCGCTGCATAAAAAGCTTCCCCAGTCTCTGCGATATTTACTGTTCCATTAGCCTGCATGTTAGACCAGAAGTAATCTTTCCTGACAGCAGTTTTCACTATGAAAGGACTCATTTTTGCACTTTGAAAGCATCCTTATGTCAATGTTAAGGTTGCATGGCAGTTCTCGGGTTTGTTGTTGCTTTACTGGAAACCGATATTGATGTGAGGAGCTTTGGCTGAGTGACAGCCTGTTTGGTTCTTATCTGGCATGTTTGAGGCTCCTCTCCTGCTGAAACTGCTCTTATCACGGCAGACGAGTTATGTGATTGGACGCTCTCTGGGTATATGTTGTGATTACATGCTGCTGGTTAAAAACAGGATTAGACTCCAGCGGTTAATGGCCATCGCAGATGAGTCGCTGTAAGTTGGTGTCACATCCTCCTTGGTTGTTGGTCGTAAAGAAAACAGTTTCAGTCAGAAGGTTTTTCGCAGTGATTCATCCGAGTTTTGACTGGGGGTTGAAAATTACTTTGACTCCTTTTCAGAAGCTTTGGACGAGCAGTCAAAAGAGGAAAGTCGAAGTGACAGAGAAGAGCCTTTTAACTTTGAAGAGGACACCATATTATCCAGAGTGACGTCTCTCTCTGCTTGCAATGCAAACGCTGAGATACAGAATTCTGATCTGTTGGATTCTGCCAAATAAAAAGTAACCCACATTTTAGAGAGACGACTGTAGCTGCTGCGAGAACGTGGTCCCCTCTTTGTGTTCACACATGACCGGAGAGTTTAAACTCAGGCGCTGTGAACTCTTTACATCTTTGCTACATTTCTAAGTGTGTAGATGAAGATGAAGAAAAGGGTCACACAGATGGTCCTCTCCATTATCATGCCACCCATTTCCTGCTCCCACCCTCTCAGCCCTCTTGCACTTGTGAAACCTAACACATGGTATGTAATGGGACAGCAGATAAATAAAACATGCTGTACATTTTGTACAGAGCTGCTGATGTCAGCAGGAGCACGTAAACATATTTGCATATGCTCTGTCTGCTGATGTGATTTATGGCCCACCAGGTTTTCTATTACTCTCATTTATAATTTGCACCTTCCCTCCTGTTCACATTCTGCTGTTTAGCTGGGCCACAAAGGCCTCTTTTTCACCTACCAGTTCTCCTCTTTTGTGGAGCTGAGAGCTTTGTATTCAGGCATTCGTGTTTGTAAATCTTTGAATACCAGTATTTAGCAAAGTGACAAATTTCTAGATGTTGTGCTGTAATTTAGCTTTAAAGATAGGGGACAGTCTTTCAGGTTAAATATGAATGAGTGAGGAGAAATTAAACTGGACTCTTCTGGGCAGAAGTTATTAAATTATTTACTAATAAAGAGTTAAACTGAAATGTATGAACTCTGTTAGTGACATTTCAAATACAGCAGCTTTAGCTAAATCGTATGAACCCTGCATTTTTAAATTCCATTCAAACATTAAAGACAGAATCTGAAGTTGTTTGAAACTCCGAAGCTGATAGGCTAGCAGGTTGAGCATTCAACAGTTTAAGACTGAAGTCCTTATTTCAGCAGTCGCCTGTTCAAGTCCCAGTTTTGACCCTTTCCCCCTCATGTTTGCTGTCTCTTTCCAGTTGTCCTGTCCAAAAAAAATCAATTATTCCCCAAAATATAACTTAAAAACAACAAACTCCTTTATAGAGAAATGTTTCTGGATTAAGGTCACATTACAGAAATTAACGGTGGCACAGTGGTGTGGCAGTTAGCGCTGTCTCCTCCCAACATAAAGGTCCTGGGTTTGAATCCGGGTCAGGGCATTTCATTGTGGAGTTTGTATGTTCTCCCTGTGTCTGTGTGGGTTTACTCTGGGTGTGAGTGTGGATGGTGATTCATCTCTATGTGTCGGCCCTGTGATGAACTGGTGACTTGTCCAGGGTGTCCCCTGTCTTTGCCCCAAGATGGCTCCAGCATTACAGAAATTAGCTTTAAAAAAAAAATTCTGAATTTTTTTTTTAGATTAAGAAATAATTCATTCATTTTAACACGTGAATAAAGTTTTAGTAAAATCATATATAAAATTGTAAACTTAGTCAATGTTAGCAGGACAGTCTTGTTACTTATTATAGTGTGGCACTAAGGTCCCAAAACATTAGCAACAGCTAAACATGATACTCAACACACATTTTTGGCACAAGCAGCCGTCTACTCACCATAAACAGAAACAAGGACCTACCCTAATCCTTACCCAGTATCCTGTCTTTTCCACCTCTTATTTTGGTAATAGTATCACCTCTTTACGTTAGTATATGGTTTTGTTTTCTCTCAGCTTTATTCTTGTGGGAAAATTATTTTCCTAGAACTTTTTTCTTATGAGAAAAGTTTTAATCTTAATTTTAAAAAAGGATTTTCTTTAATGTGGCCCTACTGCTCAGAGATAAGTATTCAACATCTTCCCTTTATCTTTATAAGATTATAATCTTGCCATTCATTTCATCCAGTTTCCTTTTGTAATTTTTCTTTTCTATCAAATATAAAGCTGTAATAGTCTCAAACGAAATCGTCTGCTTTTATTTTTACTTTTTATCAACCCTGTTTCCTCAAGCTTTAGCAACAACCTGGTGATCCCCTACTTTGAAATAAGAAAACATCAGGATTAAAATGTGCATTTATACATATATTTTTTGTAAATGTTTGAGAAATCTAAAAAACTTGACTCCTAATTTCCTTAGTCACTCAAACTGTCAGATAAATGTGACACAGTAAAAGTTAAAGGGGAAAAAGAAGCAGTACCACCCTCTCCTCTGTGATATTTAGAGACAGGATCTCTCTGCTCCGGCCCTGCAGGTTAAAACAGATTGGTGTCACTCATCTCCTTCTCCTCTGATTCGACAGTGCTCTCTGTTTTGCACTGTTCGTCCTCTGCACGGCTCTGTCTTTCACCCGGCGATGAAACGCTCTTGAGTTTTTGAAATGAAAAGGCCTTTGAGCTGATTGGGGTGGAGTGTTTGAATCACGGCCCTTTCTGTGACTTGTGTATGATCCCTTTAATGGCCCCGGTGTCACCGATAATTCACAGGTAAACCCACAAGTACCTCCTCTTTGTGTGAGCTTCTTCCATTAAGAGCGGCCTGAAATATTCTTTTTAACAAGCGGTTACGAGGGGTTAGACATGTTGCACCTGTCTGCATGAAAGGATAAGTGGTGATCAGCGGCCCTTGTTGATCGTTCTGAAATTCAAATGAGTCAATTACAAAGTTAAAAACGGGGAAATTGAGTTGAAGTAGCATTTTTGACTAGCTTGAAATTAATTAAATGTTAAGTTCAAAGGAAATGGCCCTTTTTCATGAAGTAGACAGAAAAGTGTCCCTCTCTTCTCACTACAGAGAGAGCTGCCACGGCGCGGTATACAATATTGAAAGCTTCACTTTTGCATCATATTTCCATTTTTCAGACATCAAAGCCGTTCAGCTGTATAAAGGACCTTGTTCTGCTGCTTATTCCTCGCCGTCCACGGTCAAACATGTTCAGTGATTGGATTTAAGTTCTTACATCACAAATGGAGGGAGCTTGGCTTCGTACGCGGTTCTGTCAGATCGACTCTGACTCCCATCAACAAGGCATCATCTATCTTTCCTAACGACTCCAAACAGGGCTCCACGTTACTCTCCCTATGAGGCCTTGGCACCTCGGCTCCATAATGAGGCAGTGAAGAAAAGGGGCGCAGATTAGAATAACAGCCTTAACTAATCCATAACAGGCCGATGAGGCGCCACGTTTGGGGGAACCGTGTCATTTCTCATTTTGCAGCGCCATGGCAAAATCTCTCCTCTCTTTTCTCTCTCTCTCTCTCTCTCTCTCGCTCCCCCCTACGCAAAAACAAGCCCCCAGAATAGCAGCTGTGGCAAGCCGCCGGCACAAGGACGGCAATCAACACGACATAGCTTCTTTCCCTGTCTCTCTCTCTCCTCTTTTCTTTTTCTCATCTCCCCGACAATAGTGTGTGGAGAACAGAGAGGAAATCCATGCCCCTGACTGTTGACTTTGGAAATCAAAGAGGAGTTTCAGCTCGGATGAAACTACTGAGGACCGCAGCCCCGGTCTCAGGGACAGGGACTCTGTCTTTAGTGACGGGGCGCAAAAGTACTTCTTGAAACAGCGAGGGTTTTCAACAAGTCTTTTTAGAAAATTGGTTCATGTCTTCAAGCTGGGAGTGTTTAGCAGAGACCCCTGCTGGGCTGAATTTACAGATGGCAGCATTCTCATACATTATGATGTTAAAAAAGTATAATTCATGATAAAGCTTTTGAACCTTTTATACAATACAACACGAAAGAAGTTTCTGGCTAATGCTAATGAACTACTTGTAACCTGTGGCTCATGTCAACTCCTCAGTGGCAGTTTTAGTCCAAAGGGGTCCAAATGTGAAACCCAAATGGTGCAGATATATACAGTATGTATTTTTTCGGCGATTTTTGCCTTTTTCTGATAGTACAGGGTAATGATCTGGCGCAGACTCGAACCTGCGACCGCTTAGGGGACCATAGTCACCCTACATTGGATGCGCTAACCCACTCGACTGTCAACGTGTCGCTGTGCAAATATATTTCCAGCACACGTTTTCACTACAATTAAAATTTAGAGCACTAAGAGTTGTCTTTTACCAAAACAACTCTTACAAAAACAAATAGATTACAGTATCTTTGAGCTTTTCAGGATAAAATTTAAAGCACCTCTATTGAGAAAATCAATCCTTGACTGAGAGACTGTTGTCGCAATCTATAACTTACACAACCATGTTTGTTAATGTTGTGTTTTATAAATTTGATACAATTTAATCGGGGTGAATGTAGAAGGACCCAGATTAGACCCTTGGGGAACTCCTTTGAAGCACTATTTTAAATTAACTCAATTAATGACGTAACCAATTAACCCAACCCCACTTATGCATGTTTTTGAGATATGGGAGGAAACTAGACTAAACCCACGCAGACACAGGGAGAACATGCAAACTCCACACAGAAACGCCCTGACCCGGATACGAACCCAGGACCTTCTTGCTGTGAGGTGATAGTGCTAACCGCTACACTACTGTGCCACCCAGTTCATAATTTAGGTATTTAAATCTTTGTTGATGTTATATTGTGTAAATTTGATATGATTTAACTTGAGGGAAACAGAAAAGGACCCAGATTAGACCCTTGGGTAACTCCCATTTGCTGCAGTTTAGAGCTGCATGAAATTTAATCTCTATCAACAAACTGCATAAAAGTTCAGAATCTGTTGACGCAGGACTAGATTTTCATAGTGAGAGTGTAATAGTTTAGGTCGTAGAAAAACATGGCGGCCATTACGCAATCGTGGAACCATTCAGTGATCATTAGTTGAAGTTTGTCTTTAATTGTCTTTGTTGTATGAACTCCAACTCCACTCTTCCTTTTCAAGTTATTTGTCAGATTGTTATTAATGGAATCGCATGGAAACTGGAGTCAGCCTTTGGCTTCCAGAAGCATCAAACAATAACCAGTGCGCTCCAGACTTTATTCTGGCGTCAGCAAAGGCAACATCCAGAGATTGCGATCGATTACCAACACCGCTGCCAGGCTTAAACACATAGAACAAGAACGCAGTTATATCACCAGCTACCGGTGAGTTTCTGGATCGATTTGAAGATTTGACTGCTTGTTTTTAAAGCCTTAAATAACGAGACTACTAACTCTCAAAGCCTGGCTGCTACCTGAGGTATCCTAGCCCTTTTCTTGACCTTGACTGGTGCACTTGCAGTTCAGGCCCCACAGCTTTAGAATCCCTTACTTGAGGTTGTCAAACAGGCAAAGACTCTTCTTCAAACTCACCTTTATTGTCAGGCTTTTTCTCCACCGCTCACTGAGTTTTATTCCTCCCCTTCACCTTGTTTTTCTTGAAGTACTGAATCTTGCTTATTTGTGAGTTGTTTTTGATTGTTGTTAACCTTGTTTTAGAGGAGGCTGTGGCTCAGTGGTAGAGTTGATTGTCTCTCAACCAGAAGGTCGGGGTTCAATCTCAGATCCTAGGCAAGAGAAAGCACTGTGTAAACAGTCTTTTTTATTGGTTTATGCTTTTTCACAACTAACTACAACAACTTTCCTTTGTTTGCATTTTCATTTGATTGAACGGTATTGGATGGCATTGTTTTGTATTGTATCGCTTCCACTGTGATAAGTCATCTAATACTCAACTAATGAGCTATTGTCGGAAAAATCGGAGCTGCTGCAGTTCTGGCCATTTCCAGCCAACTACACAGCAGCTACAGGCAACAACATGGATGACAGTGACGGGCAATGTTGAACGCTGGTGTAGATTTTCCTTTAAATGGCAGTAACGTTGAGTGATAGCAAAATTTGCACATTGAGGAAGTCTTCTGGAGATGCTTTCTGTTAACACAACAGTGAGAGAAAGCTACTATCCACGCCAAACACACACCTCCATGTGTGTGAATTACTGAAACGTACTTTAGCTTGATGCTAAGAGCCTAAATGCAGGTATGAGGGCAGAGACATCCTCATACTATGCTTTCATAATGGCCTCATGCATTTATCAACACACACGGCAGGATGTGTGTTCGTCCTAGAATGAGCCTCTCTCTTTATGCTTAACGTCTGGTTGCATTTTGCATGTTTGCGTCGCGTCCATACATTTATGCGATGTGAGTTTTTCCTCCCTTTGTGTGCTCGTGTGCTCAGCGGAGGGTGGAGTGGCTGCCGGCTGCCTCTTCAGCTCTGGCTCTGCTGCAATAAGGCCTGATTTAAGGCTGACCAGAGCGCACCAGGAATAATGCCGCGTCCCTCATTTCCTCTGCAGCCTGGCGAGATGAGATCTCTTCACAATATTTACCCGGGGAATAATGATGTTTGATTTGACTCTCTTCTGGGTGTGTCTCTGAGAGGGCTATTTTGGTCCACTGCTGCCACAGAGAGGGAAAACAGACAGAAGCTATGTCCACAGGAAGAAGGGAAAGAAGCCTCAGATCATTGTTTATAGATGATGCTGGGTCGGTGTATTTCTGTGCTCGGCCTTCAGAATAGAGAGCGCCTGTGCTGCACTGTTGGTAGCGTGACTCACTCTCGGTTTCTTAGCTTATTGCGTTTTACTTAGACACTCCTGATGAGCCCAGGTTGGAGTCAGTGTGAAGATGCTGCATTAAAGATGCTCTACACAGCACACAAGAAACAGACGAAAATAGGCACATTTGTGTGTTTTTTTCTTCGGTTGTTCGTCTTTCTTTTGTATTCTTCCCTCCTTAAAGTCTCTGTAGTTTCTCAGCATTTAGAGGTAGTTTGTTGAACTTGGAGATAACACTTATTATTCTGCCCTTTGCTTTGAAAGAGTTGCCTCAAAGTAGTTACATGAAATTAGATCCCCACTGAGCATTTTTTGGTCTCAAAGTGGTCTAATAGACGTCTAAATGTAGCCTAGACGACTGGTCTAAAATCGGGCTACCACAGGTCTAAAAATGAAAGTTTTTTAGACCTAGAAATTAAGACCAAGTCTAAATCTGGGCTATATCTACGCTGAAGCTCAATAGTTATAATTATTTTGGTTAAGTACTTGGAGATCAGGGTCTAAATTAGGTCTAAAAAAAAAAAAACTAGACGTCTAATAGCTGTCTATTGCTCAGTGGGTCTTGCGGCTTATAATTCGACGAAAGTGAATATTTGTGTTTGGCAAAAAAAAAAAAAAAAAAAGCAAATCACGCTAAGAACTGAATGTTTAAGACCCAACTTTGATACGTCGATTATCGTATGTAAGGCGGGCTACTCCCTTAGCCTCCCTAGTATGAAATAAGAGAGTTGTTTGAGGAAGTAAGTGGCTGCTTTACTTTCATGCCTTCAAAAAGCTGAGTAAATCAATCTTTAGAGAGCTGCTTTAATTGAAAAACTTTGAAATGTAAGTGGCGTAGGTTTTAGCAATTTGGTCCTAACTTTTAGGACTGTTGTGGACCCGTCCATACCTCTACTATAGCTACCATACTGCTAGCTAGGCTGGTGACAACTAATACAACAAGTTTCTGACTATAACAGGAAGACAGTTAGTGTTTTTCCTTCATGGAGCCCAGGCTCACGCTCTAGATTTAACTGTTTGTTTACATCGAGGTAAACATGCATTATCGGGGGAAAAAAAGGAGGAAAATTAGTCTTATAAGGATTTCTAACAAAACACTTCATTATAATGCCGTCCCTAATTAGAGTTCATTATGCATTGCGACGTTTTAAACTATAGCGGGGCTCTGAAATCCTCTGGGATGCAGTTGTATTTACCCACCTTTAGTTTCCTCTGCAGCTCAGCTCCAATGCTACAGAAAACAGTGTAGTATTTACCTCATTACAGCCTGCACTCTCTCTGAGGAGCACAGTCATTTGCATGGCTGCTTGTCGAACCATGTTAATATTGACAAAGATTTGCATCCGTTTTAATCATGTCACGTAAAAGGTATACAAAGTTGTTTATGGCTGCCGAGCAATAGGCCCGTTCGGTACTGCAGCGCACATTAAGAAAGATTGCACTTTGTTCAGAGCAGGGTTTGCAAATCACAGACGTCAGATGAGAAGAGGAGGAATAGATGAGAGCGGTGGCAGTTTGACTCTAACGAAAATGCATTTACATATTAAACCACACAGCAGTGTGCGGAGCGAGGGCTCTGTTTGAACTGCACGCTCCATTCTGTCTTCCCTCAGAGGAAGGAGGAGCCAGGGCCTTCGCCGCCGTGACTGCAGCACCGTAAATTTCAAGTTGTTTACGGATGCTGCCATCTTGGAGCGCTCCGGGAGGGAAACTTGGAGCAGGGCCATTTACCGGCAGCTTGATGAGAGTGCAGTGAGGCGAGTTAATTAATACAACATCCCTGGGCCCACAGGCTAGGCTGCAAAGCTAACCCAGGAGGGAGGAAGAGAGAGAGAGGGAGGGAGAGGAAGACACACAGAGAGATGGAAAAAAGGACAAACCATGCGAGGGAATCAGAGATACACGCAGAGAGGGAAAAATGGCTGCAGCACCTGCTAGGACTGTGAGATTTAAGGCACTGGAACGTGATTATATCATGAGTTAAGATGGATTTAGTAACTTAATTAGCCATCATAACTAATCCCAGTGTGGGGATTGTGACACAAACGCTTAAAAACAAATTCTTCCTTTTACCTTTTTTACCTAGCAACACAAACTTTACATTTTTTCATATTTAATAATAATGATGCATCAGATTTTTAAAGCACACACTGGGAGCGAGGTGTCTTACCCAAGGACACAATGGATAGACTCGGGATAGGCAGGAATTGAACCGCCACTTTTCCATTTATTGGACGAACACTCTACCTCAACTCAAATGACTCTAACTCAGTGAACTCAAAGCTGCTTCTGCCTCCCAGTTTACCCTCTATTGGAAAGAACAGATTGAGATAAGGAAACAGGAAATACTGAGAGAGAAAAGGGGAATCAGGAATCAGTCCTTTATGTAGTGTGAGCCTCTGTACATATTCTGAGACTTCCCAAAAGAGAGGACATGACTACACGGGGACAGAGTCATGGAGTCGCACAAAGTTAATTTTGACAGTTTTTCAGGTCGGATCGAGCGTCTTTTACGTGTTTCTAACTCTAAGTCCACGTGACACGAAATCGAAACTCTCGTACAAAACCGCAGACATTTGAAGGATTTTATTAACTTCCCCGGACAAAGCCCAGACAGCCCCCCAAAAAGAGGACATGTTTGGGTAAAAGAGGATGTATGGTCACCCTAAACTAGCACCCCATGTGACTTCTTTTAAAGCTCCTGTGTGGAGTTTTTTAACTGAAGATAACAAAACTAACCATAATGTCAGCTCTTGAACTCTTCAAATTGATGATCCTCAACAAGCTTTATTTGATATCCTTGTAGATGTTGCTCATTCTACGGAAGACAATTAGAGACACTCAAAAAAAAACTTGATTTAAAAAAGTCAAAAGTCTGAAGAAGAAACTTCAGATTGAAGAAGAAATTGACCTTTTTTTTCAGTGGCTCTAACCCTCTTCTGTATTATTCAGTGTGTTACTTGTCCAGTTGATTTATAAAGTCTAGACGGTCATTTAATATCTTCTTTTGCAAACTTCACCCTGGAGCTGGAGAGCTACCTTGGTTACCAAGCTGCTTTATTTGACAAATAGTAGCAGAGGAAGTTTTGG